GTTGAAGAACGACTGCGAAGGAGTACCCCTGATTCAGTTGGCAGAGAGCGATAAGCCGATCTGCCCTTCCAGTGATGCAATGCCTGTTGGCAGTTTCGCGAGAAGGGAATATGGGGGTTAGTGGGTAAGGCACAGGATAGCTGTGAATCCCACACGCTGTGAAGTGCGGGCTCTGCAGTGTCTTTGGAAGATTTTCCCCTGCCCTCGTAAAAAATCTGACGTGCACTACACTACCACACATTTTGGGAAATCAGTCGCGAGCTTAGGGGTTGTCTCGACTGGGGTGGTACAATCAAATTCGGGTTGTGTAGAAAACGTCAAAAGAAAACTTTGCACATGCGTAATGTCACCGCCCTATTGTTGCTCTGTTGTCATCAGTCTGCTGCTGCGAGTCAGGCAGCGAAGAACGGCGAGTACGAGCAGTTAGAGGCACCCGCGATGCCGCGCAGACGCTCTCGACGGCCTATCCAGGTCGCGTGGTGGGACTTCATGGCGCATTTGCCAGGCATGTGGGCCATTTAGATGTCACATTGGCCCGATGTTGGAATCAATGGGTACATGAGGGCACCCATGCACGTCGCGCAGACTCGGGTCACCGGTCCAAAAACCACCCGAGGGGGGACCGTGTGGTGCGCCAAGCAGTGCGGAATCCCATGACGTCGGCACGCGCCATCCGCGAAATTGTACTGGCGACACTTCAACATCCTGCGAGTTCCCGCACTGTGGCTCGACGACTCACATGCTCCGGATTGGGCTCACATCGCCCCATGCATCGGTTGCCATTGACAATAGAACACCGACGTCGGCGTTTGGATTGATGCCGGCCCCGCAAAGCATGAACACAGAAAGAATGGCGCCGTATCGTGTTCAGAGACGAGTCCCGCTTCGCCATAACCTCCGATGACCATTGTGTTCGAGTGAGGCGGCGTGAAGGGCAGAAGACACATCCGGCCATTATTATAGAGAGACACACAGGCGAAACCCCGGGCATCATGATGTGGGGAGCCACCGGATAGGCGCTTTTTGTCAGGCATGGAATTTCCACCAACAAGAAAGTGCAATGCAACCCGCTCTGTGTTTGTGTGTTTAGGGGTTGCGTTGCAGCGATGCGGACAGGGGCTGAGCATGGCGGGGCCGGGAGAGGCAGCGGGGTGGGGACGGAAAGAACATCGGAGGATGGATGGGGAGAGGGGCCGGGGCGGAGTAGTGAGGAAGAGGCATGGCGGGGAGAGCGGGGCGAGGATGAAGGGGGGGGGGGCGCTAGCCGGAAGGAACCCTGGAGAGCCGGGACAGGATTATAAATAGAAGTACTTTTGTTTTGCATGATAGATAGAATTAATTCCTATTCCTGTTTCGATGAAATAAATGCTTGTGATAATTTCTTATTTATTGTTATATTCTGATTTAATGTTATATTCTAATTTATTGTTATTTATTCTTATATTTATTGTACCTGAGCAATGTTTAAGTACTTTAAAGGAATGGAATGCAAAAGGTTACAAACAACATAGGAATCTAGAAAACAATGTGTGATAAACGTCGAGTTACTTCCAATATAACATAGGAACATATTTTATTTATGGTGTACTCATTGTTTATTTATAGTTAGTTTATTGGCCACAGTCAACATTATTATAGCACAAATATTACCTTTGTGGGCATTGCGGATCCATTACACCTACACAGGCTTTTTTAAATCATGGCCACTACTAATGCAATAAATGCTCTTCCATTTCGCCAATTTCTCTTTTGTCAGGTTTCTCAAAAATATTAGAATCAGAGAGGCTTTTCTATACGCGAATGGAAACTTTTCTCAGAAAAAACGAAGCGTTTTCAGACTCGCAACAGGGTTTTAGAAAATTAAAATCTACGGAAACTGCCATTTTTTCTTTTCTTAAAGATGGATCAAAATGACGCACCCACTGGAATACTTTTAGATCTTTCAAAAGCTTTTGACGTTATTGACCATAACATCTTGCTATCAAAATTACCTTCTTATGGAAGTCGTGGTATCCCCCTAGATTGGATAACCTCGTACCTTAAACATTGATCTCAAAGAGTAGAAGTACCGTACAAGCACGAAAGAACATTTCTTACTTATCTTTCCAATTCTTTATTAATTGAATATGGTCACACGAGGCTCAATCTTAGGTTCTATCCTCTTTCGGTTATACGTAAATGATATGATCTCGTCTATTAAAAACGGAAGAACGGTTCTGTTGGCCGATGACACGAATGTTCTTTGCAAAAAAGAATCAATAAATAGTACGATTTTAGAAGTTTTAAATTGGTTTTCTAATAAAAAATTAATAGTTAACGAAGGAAAAACAGTTTCAATGCATTTTTGCATTTCAAAACACATTCACATGCTCAATTAAAAATGAATAATATGCAATTAGCTGATGTTCAAGTAACAAAATTTCTCTCTCGATTCAGTCAAACCTCAAATGGAATTTATATATAACAGAATTAAACACTAAATTAAGTTCATTATGTTACACATTCAGAATTCTTTCAAATTCTGTCTCTCTTCATTGCAGCTCTTTTTTTCTATTTTGCAAATATGCATTCCCACCTGAGATATGGCATACTATTCTAGGGAAGCTTATGATGTAGTACCCAGACTTTTAGACTACAAAAGAAAATTATATGAATAATGAAAAAAATGCCATCTGTGTGATCCCTGCAAGCCTGTCTTAATTGAGTTTGGAATTTTACCACTGCTTTGCCTATTTATATATGAATCTCTAATATTTGTCAAAACTGACTTACTTAAGGTGGGGACATATTTTCAAGCAATACTGATATTTATTATTACAACACCTGTATCAACAGCTCACTATCTGAAATCCACATACAATACATGTACATTACTTTACAACGCATGATGACATTAAACAATTGAAGTCAGTTCACAAATTTAAGTTTAAAGTAAAATCTTTTCTGCTGCATAACTGTTTCTGTACCTACTATTAGAGACTACTGATCATCAAAAAGAAAAATAATGTTTATTTTAGCAAATTAGTGATATATAATAAATTAGCTTATATACGGTTTGTATAATTTGTTTAAAAAAGACTTAATATGCTTATAACAAATAATGTACTTCAGCTTCTGGGCCAATGATCCCCATCTCAATCAGGTTTTTGTCCAGTTTCCCTGATTCTCAACCAAATGCTTAGATGGCCCCTTGTTTTGCTTCTGACCATAAATGTAGCTTCAGTATGTACATGTTTTATTGAACTCTTCTTTTGCTTATAATGATAGGAGTAGAAAAATCATATCTGCAATTCGTTTACCGATGCAAATAAGTTTTCTATAACTCGGGAATGAAAATGTTAATTGTTTTTCAAATATTGCTACTCTCACACTTTTTTAAATTTTAGTTTTATTTATTTGTTTATTTATCTTTAAACTTTTACTCACCTTTCGACTATTATAGTTAAAATAATGGAAGGGATTCTGGAACTCAAGAAAAGTGCACAGATGATGTCTCTCCCATACATTTTCACTTTTTACTTTTTTTTTTTTTTCTGTGGGTCGTAAATATATATAAATCTATATCATTCTTTATGAATTTAATATATTAACTTAAGAAACTTAAAATTTCAGCAGGATCCTCCCAACATTCTTGTACTTTTGACAAATAAACCTACTTAATTACGATTATGCAATAGTAAATATGCATTCTGTTTTCTTTATCTGATGCCATTTTCACAACTGACTATTATGATGCATCTTTTTACTTTTGATGCAACACAAATTTCAAATTTACCAATTCTCATTCAATGCAGAAATGAGCTAATAAACCATAAACCATTCAGTTTTGTAGACATCATTAGCGTTTCTTAATGGTTTGGCCTCTTTGGTAAAAAAATCTTCATATCAATGCTATTTTGTTTCTCAATACAACAAAACCAAATCTTTAGTTCATTTATTGATGCAAATAAGTATTACTCGGTTATTTTTAGGGAACAAAATCTTGTTTTCAAATGTTTCTAAGCCTTGATTGGGACTTTTATACATTATTCAACTACGCATAGTAAAAGGATGGAGTAGGGATTCTCAAGCTCTAGAAAACTTGGGCAGATAATACTTCTTCCCCAAACATCATATATAGATTTCACTGTTTTTTGATGAAATAATCAAATTTACCTACCCTTCTCTGTGTCTGTTGGTCCATCTGTCTGGCTGCTTGTCTGCTCTCCCACTCACCTTTGTATTAATAACAATTCTTGCCAGACTTGATTGGTTGGAATGCAGACATACTTCACTATTACCTAATCTAGATGGTTTTATAAACAGTAACAAGTTCTATGCAATTTAACTCCAAAACATAGTTGTTTTCTAAGTAGATAGGTCTAATCTCTCAATAAAAACAAGGATTTTAAATATGTATGATTAAAAATATCATTTTCAATAAGAAATAGATGTACATTATTTTAAATTAATGTCCTCTTTTAAAGTAATTTTATTTATGATTCAGTTGAAATAAAAAATAGTATTTTAGCTTATCACAAATGAACTTTAAAATTTTTTGTTGTCTATTTTTCATATTTGAAACCAGAATAAAAACAAATAAAATGAAGCTAGATAATTTATTGAGCCAAATGTATTTTGATTACTCATCTTCTTTATACAGGTAGGAGCTAAGAATGTTTAATCTGTCCTCTTATGTCAGTTTTGGCATCAGGCATCAAAATCAAATATTTTTTATATTTACTTTTTAATGCCACAAATTAACATTTATCAAAGAATAGAAATTTTTCAACCAGAAATATGACATGGAGGAAATGGATGCAAACTCACAAACCCCTAGTTAAGATGTTATTCCCAAAACCCAAATAGGTAATCCAGGTGAATCCCAGTGTGGTTGAAAATCTCATGTTTTATGTAATTTACAATAATTACATTCTAACTTTGCCATATAATGCTTTGAAACTGCTATTTCTAGGATAAATTAGTCATACATACACAATTTTTTTAAAATTTTGTTTCAGATACAGAATGTTGGTAATTAAGAGTTAGCAATCTGTGTCAATTAATTGAGCTCACAAATGGAACCCAAAGCAGAAGCAGCAGCAGCAGCAATAGCTGAAAAACCTGAAGAGAAAGAGAAAACTGAAACTGAAGTGTCTCCAGTGGAAGATACTCGATTAGAATTTATGTACCATTATTTGTCAAAGACAATGAGAGTGAAAGCAGATAAATGGGCAAAATTACTTTCTGTAGAAGAATATAAGGTATTCAAAGTCATAAAACTGGCCTATTTATAGTTTAAAGTTTGGGAGCCAAATATTCATCTCTCATCTAGATCTAATTTCTCTTGCCATATATTCTATCAATGACTATCTTAATTTCATATTAACCATTCCAGTGGAGTAACATTCAGGCCCACAAGGCCTCCAATGTGGGCAGGCCCAGGTAAAAGAGAGCCTATTTTTATTATTTAAGGTACTAACACTACTTGTGTTTGCTACAGTTTTATAAAGGAGGCCTGGATAAAAGTTTTGTGGGCAGACCTGCACTCATTTTGTTATGCTACTGCACCATTCACCATATGACATCATTTTCGATCATCATCAGCAGTGTCATTATTACCATTACATTTACTTTGCCCATTGCTAAGGCAAAAGCAAAAAATGAGAAGCTTCTGTATACATATGACTGCATTGATGCCTTACATTGCTAAGTTTGTCGTTGTTGTTTTTTAAATATTCTTATTTTATTCCTTTTTATTTATTTCCTTTTCTATCAATGTTTCTAATAGTTTTAACTTCACTTTGTTTTCAAAGTTCTGTAGATAGAATGAATTCAAAATCATCCCATGCAACTACTATTTATTCTCTGTTTAATTTCCATTTTACAGACCATTTTATTGGATTTTCTTGAAAAAACAGATATTGAAGTAATCACATTTACAATAGGAATAGGTTCCCAATTAGTAGTATATGATGGTTTCCCTGAAGCTATCAGATCCAAGCTTTCATACTTCATTCGAAGAGAAAGAAAACCCATTACCACTAAAAATATAAGAAATATTATAATTTTTGGGGACTTAGCTCCCAGTCCAATTGATGAATTGGCAATTTGGGTTGATCAGGTAATGAGTAGTACTCATAAATTTACTATTTTCTTAATTCTTTTATGTGTATTGTTCACTTCCTAATATTTTCTTGTTTTCTGATGTGCAGATATGTGTACCTCTTCTTTCTAATCCTAAAAATCATGTTGGGTGGCCTCTAGTTGTTGCTGATGATATAAGAAAACATGTTCATAAACTAAAAAATATTGTCTATGAGGTGAAGGGTAAAATTCATGGTCAAACATTGTTACCAATGCCTCTAGGTGCTGAAAAAGTCTATGAAGCTGAAACAAGGATTCGTGAAAGGTTAGATAGTAGTTGCATGTGAATTATATCTATCATAACTTGTGAAAATATTGCAACTACTAAATAATATTATATTTATTCAATATGTCATCAGCAATGGTGAAGATCTTGATATCTACTTAAAGTGTGAAATAGAAGGAACAGTTATCAAATGGGCTACTCAAATTAGTCGAGTTTTGGAAGAAGATTCAGCAAGTGCTTTTGAAGGAGGAAATCATCCCACACCTGATTCAGGTTGGAATTAATAAAATAATTCTTTAAGCCATAATGAAGAAAAATACATGATAGCTGTTTTTTCAGAATTTTCCTTCTGGTCACATCGTTTGGCAAATTTGGAATGTATTTATGGGCAACTCCGTGATTTGCGTGTAAGAAAAATGGCTTCAATTTTGGAATTAACTGACAGCGCTTATTACCCTTGCTTTAAATCTCTATTTAGAAATGTTGTAGCTGGTAAGTCATATGCTTATTTTCAAAGGTATATATCTAATGTAAATTTATTTATTAATTATTTTGTTTTCTTTCAGCTGTGGTTGAAGCAAGAGATATAAACATGTATTTGAAACCCTTAAAAAAGCAGATAGACACTATGAAAACTCTTGAATATGATCTTATCAAGCCTAATTTTTCTGCAGTACTTTGTACTCTTTGCCTTATATGGGGGCATAGTCGATATTATTGTAACACTTCAAAAATAGTTGTCATTCTTAAAGAAATTTGCAATGAACTAATACAAAATGTACAGAGCATTCTTGTTTGTTGATAATTTTAGATAACATAAATTTGCATTTTTAGTTGTTGCATTTGGTTTTTTAATAGGGTTGCAGTTTTCTTCAACCAGCCAGTTTATTTCAAGGGGATGTAGATGAATCAATTATGCAAATAATAAAAGTAATTGATATTCTGGAAACATTTAGGTAATCATCCAATATGATAATTTCATTTCGTTTTTACCTACTCGTATGATTTTTTCAAAGTTGAATCTAATATATGGTTTGTCACATTCAGCAAAGATGTATGAACCATTTATCTAGAACAACTGTTACTTAAGTCTGCCCATTCCACTCCATTAAATTACAAATAAAAGCAATATTCTTCATAATGCAGCTGAAACATGTAACTTTAAATTAACTTCTCCCCATAGCACACAGTTTTTAACTGTTTTTGACATAAATAAATAAAACATTATAATCATTGTATTTAGAAAAATTTTTGTTCCTTCTTCTTCTTGGGCAGTTTTTCTTCCTCTATCATTCTATGATTCTCATAACTCTGTTATTCAAATATAAGCAAGCATTTTAACTATCAAACTTTCCTTGGAAATTTTTTAATGTTAATTATTTTACATTAATAATTTATGAGGTTCAAGATTTTCCAAGTAATTAATAATATTGAAACCTTCAGAGTAATATTTGACCAATACAAGGAAAAAGTTACCTCCTATTTTCCTGAAGGATCTGAACCTGTTCTTTGGACATTTCATTCCAATGAAGTATTTGAACGAACAGAAAAATTTCTGGAGCGTTTAAAATTAATTGAGGTAAGGAATTTGGTAACCATTACTTTTTATGAACCCCTTTAAAATGATTGCAGGTTTATTATTTTATTAATGTATTGGTTTTCTAGGAACTTTTCAGGACTGCTAATGAATACATGAAATTAGAAAAAATTGAAATTGGTGGTCTGAAAGGACGTTCTTTGAGTATGAAAATACAGGAAGCTTTTGAAGAGTTCTTGCATCAGTTTGCAGTATTTGGATCTCTTTCTTATGATCCTTTGGTTCCAGAAGATTTGAAATTTATTAAGGATTATGAATTCTTTGAAAATGTTATTGAAGATCTTGATCGCAAATTGGCATCTGTATTTTGCCAAGCTTTTGATGATTGCCACAATATAGAAAGCCTATTTAAGGTAATAATATAACAATCAGTCTTTTGAATTAAAAGTTTTAATAACTATCAGTTATATTATAAATAATGTGTTGAATTCATTGTTTCTAATATTACAATAATTGTTTTATCAAAGAAATATTTTCCTTTTAGTTTCTTCATATAACAGGATCTCTACTAGAAAGGAAAATCATCAAAGATACTTTGGAAGATAAATATCAAGTTATTCCCAAGTTAGTAGAACAAGAACTTGACATTACCAAGGTAAGTTGATAATGTAAGATTTTCAAATTAATAGCAAATTTCTCTTTAAAAACTGATTACATACAAATATTTTTGTTTTACATAATGATACATACAAATATGTTTGTTTGTTTGTTGATTAGATATTGTTTGATGAGCAGACTCGCATGTTTATGAAGCATAAATACATGCAAGTGGACACACATTTTCCTCCAGTTGCTGGAGCTCTGGTTTGGATTTATAAATTGAAAGAAAGAATTAATGTTCCAGTTGCATTATTCAAGGATCTAGATAATCCGTAAGAGTCAAAGGACATAAAAAATGAAATTAGAGTATCTTCTCTTAAAGTGTATCAAATCAAGAAAAAGAAAAGTAGAGTTATTTCTGAAATTTGTGGATATAATGTAACAAACAGTTTTTTTGTAGTTCTTTTTATAGTCACCTACTAGCATACAGTGGAGTAATCCTTCTTTATTGTAATCAGTCATTGTCAATTGTAGTTGGTCATTGCCTTATATCCGTTTGGCCAGTGCTCAGCACCCTTAGGTCCGTGGAGTTCACTGACAGTCATTTAGGAACCCACAATGCCTCAAATTGCTTAACCTCTGTGACTTTACGGAGTGTAGTTAAGCAATTTGGCTAGCAACACTGGCTTATCTGATGACAATATCGTGTTAGATAAATGAAACAGTGCATAACTATTACTGTAAGTGGCTCTTTCAAGGCAGGTGTGAAAAAGAAACAGAATCTCCAATGTTTGAGTCCTTAGGTTTGTGTGGGTAAAGTGCCAGTATGTGTGAGTTAAAGAAGTTTGAGTGAGAAAGGTTCAAGCAGATCACCCCTGTGCAATTGCATACAGTCCAATATGGCCCAAATGTGAGATGAAGGTAGGGCTTCACCTATTCTTTGCTGTTGACATAGGGATAAGATTGTATGGTGAGCTCAATGCTGCAGCCCAATTTACTCCAGAAAGATCTTGGTACTCACTTGGAAACGAGGCTGAGGCAGAGCCATCCTGACTGGAAAGTACCAGATAAAAATCCCAACCTTGTCCGGATTTGAACCTGGGCCCTTCAAGACAATCCTACCACAGCTCCATTGTGTTTTCATAATTCTTAAGTTTAATAAATTGAATTCATAAAAAAATCAGTAATATTTGTTGGCTTTAGAGTGAGCCTAAAGAATTTAAAAGGCTTGTGAATGCAGAAAGAATCCAAAAGGCTTGCAAAGGTATTAAGTATACTATCATGTACTTTGTTTCAGATCCATAAACTCATAGTAATGAATTAGTAAACCATAAAATTATTTCTTGACATAGACTTATAAAGACACAATCATTAACTTCAGCTGAACAAACTTCTTATGAAGAAAAAACACTTTCAACCTGTAAACTTTTCAAGTACAATATCCAGCAAGTACACACCTCTGCCCCCCTTATTGAATTTTCTGCATGGTATCTACAAGAGTTTTTCGATTTAAATGTTACATTTTTTATTGCACTTACAGAAAGTTAAAACTTCTATTTAGTTAATGTTCAAAAACTATTACAACCAATTTCTTTTCATTAATTACTAATTTCTTTGGTTCACATCAGGGAAGCACTTTTGCTTTCTCAGATTTTTAATGTATTTAATTGAAGTTTATTTTAAAATATAGAAGTAAACTATTCATTTCTTTATTACATTGAATACAATTATTTTTTTGTGATATACCGGCACCGTGATGTCACATCCCATAAAAGCTAAAATAATAAATTCTAGGTGACAATACAGTCAACACAAGTCACATCAATCAGAAACATTAATACCATATGTAATACTTACTACTTATACATTATTATTATCATCATCATTATTTCTAAAATGATCTTATAACCCAAGGCACAAACATACTATTCCCCCCCAAAAATTATTTTTCTTCCTAATACTTAGATAACTATTATAAGAAATTTAAAAATATTTTGTTTTGTAGCATTACAGAATCGGAAACAGCTGATCTAGTGATGGCCAAATATGAGGAAATTTTGAGATCCTTAGAATCTTTTGAGAATCAACTGTTCTCTGACTGGGCAGAATCTGTACCAACCCGTTGCAAAGAAAACCTTCAGAAACAATTACTGATTAGAGATAAAAAGAAGTTATTACTTAGATTGAACTTTGATAATGTGGTATGTGTATGTTTTATCTGACTTCTATTTTCTTTGATTTCTGATTTAGTTATATCTGTATGAAGCCAATATATTTATAGCCTGCATTATTAGATAAGAAAATATAATATTAATTTTTTCTTAAATATTTATAATTTTTATTATGTATTTTGATATGATTTCTTTAATTTATATTATGCTTACTATCTTCAAAAAAGCTGCAAGCTGTATTGCGAGAAGTTCGTTATTTAAAGTTGATGGGAAGAAATGATATACCCCAAGAAGCAGAAATGTTATATGACAGAAAAGATAACCTAACTGATTGGATTCATAAGCTTCATCGAGTAATTGGATGGTAAATTCAGGTTCTTTTTATATTATTTTTTTAAATAAAATCTATTTTAAGAAAAAGGGTATAAATGTAAAATTCAGAATGTGACTCTACGAAATAAAATGAATAATAAATGGAAAATTTTATATTTCAGGTATAATGAAATGCGTTCAATGACTCAGCCAGTTGAATTTGACCTTGTGATTGAAGAAATTGAAATGGTTGATTTACTAATAGAAGAAATGCAAAATAAACTAACTTGGAACTCATCAGGTAATGAAGAGATTTGTGTATTCTGTATCAAAATTTTCCTTTTTATTTAATTACCTTTTTGTAAAAACTGAAAGACTTAAAACATTCTTACAGATGCTATTTTTTACATTAAAGAAGTTCATGACATTCTCAAATGTTTGCATGTTCGAACTCACGAAGCTCAAAATAATGTAATTCTCATCAGTAAACTTATGATGGCATGGAGTGCATTTCCATTATTTAGTCGGAAGGAAAACAAGAAAGACAACCTGCTTCATTTAGATGACCATGATGAAAGGCTAGCAAAGAGGTAAATGGTGTTCTTTTTATTTACTGCTTTATTTGTAATGCATTGAACAATAAAACTAAATGTACTTAAATGCAATAACAACTGATAGCAATCAAATACCAATGTCAGAAAATTCAAGATAAAATAGGTTTAAATAATAATCTAAAAGTCTCAAATAAACTATGTGGTGGTTAAGCAAATTAAAAATTCTTCTTCATTGAGGATGATGATCTGAGTTAGTCATTTAGAACAGGGTTAAAAAAATGGCTGGAAACCTGGGCAAGATAAAAGAAAATGTTGAACCCAAGTGATTCCAGCTTAGACAGGTTTTACTATATATGAAGTATGCTTCTCATGCATACTTATTTTCAGTTTTGCCGTACATTTACCCCATTTGAATTTTTTTCAAATATTCTGAATACAGTAATTATAAGTCCAATCTTGACATTTGTCCATACTTTGCTCTGTTGGTATGCCTGCATTGCTATATATTGCAAGGTGTTTGTAATTATGCATTTGAGAAATAACAGAAAAACACTTGTTCAAAGTTCTTAGTTCCATATTGTAAACCAGCAGTCATAATGTTATAGTGTTTTAGGTCCTTGTAATTTATGGAATATAGATAGAGCTACAAAATTTTCACAGAAATTTTTTTAATACTCAATTACTTATCAATAGGGAATGGAATTTATTGTCATAAAAAAACAAAAAATGAGAGTGAGAGGTTGAGTGAAAGAGAGGGTGAGAGAATGAATGAGAGTGTGAGAGAGAAATAATTTTGATATTTATCAGATTTCAACTGAGTTATCTAATGAGCTCTAAGAAATATGAGCAAGCACATGGTTGAGATTACTTCTGTTTTGCAAACATCTGCTCATCCTTGATTCTGAGAACATGGTTGTCAAGAAACAAAAGGGGTTTGTTTGACAATTCAAGGCAACAGAAGTTCAGTATTATATTACTTTAATAAAAAAAGACGATTCCAGTAATATTAAGGCGAACAATCGTTCTGTTTTTGGGAGGACAGTCTTTCTTTTGTAGGTTCTGTCCTTCCTTGATAAGTGTCCTGCTTGTCCTCCTTTTCAATGTTTTAAAAATACTTTGTTAATCACAGTATTCAGAGATCGTGCATCGTACTATTTCTCCTCAAGTGACGGTACAGTACAGAAAGACACGATTAGTTTTGCCAGATCGGAGGAATAGTTTCAGCTTCATTATTTCAGACTTTTGGAGAAGTGAGAAATCAAGATTGAATATTGATACTCTAGCTGCAGCACTTACCATAAAATTCAATATGAAGGCTATTTTTCTCTGAAATTTCCAATATTCAGTTAGAAAATGATATATTGACAAAAAATATTAATTCAATGGAAAAATACTAATTTAATTAAATAATTAAAAGGCCAAAAATTGGCCACCTTAGTACTATACATTGTTGAACTACTGTCTGAAATGTTGTTTCAATTAAAAAAAAATTAATGTGATGAAATTCATAAGAAATATAAAGTAATAGGAAAAATCATCATCATCATCATCATCATCATCATCATGAACTGCAGGTTGCTAGGCCTGTCACCTAATCCTATTTTCCAGTAGATCAGGAGGCTTACACCTACAGATGTTCCTGATCTAGACATTTCTTTTATGGTCTTTCCACATCCCTTCGCTCTTTTGGTTTGTACTTCAACACTGCTTTTGGGAAACTTTCTTGTTTCAGTCTGTTAATGTGAGAGAGCCATTTTCTCTGTCCATCTATTATATTTTTTGCCTTTAGCCTGTTTCTGATGTCTTTACTCCTTTGCCTAACCTTTAGTGTCACTCCTGCAAGATGATATACAAATGTCATTTGCATTGCCTCTAGTCTTTGTTGCTCACTACTGTTCATAGTCCAGACTTTTGAAATGTTCATGAGGCTTAGTTTAGATATCATATTCTATATTCTTAGTTTGGTCTCTTAACTCATATCTCTTCCAAAGTCTCTTTTGATTAATCCGTTCATCCTGTGGTATTTCTGAAGTTTGTTTTCCATGTCTTCCGATCTCTGACCAATGAGGTAGCCCAAATAATTGAATTTAGATACTTGTTCTACTATTTTCACATTTATGACAATTTTGACTTTTCTAATTTCTTCCTTTGTTATGCCGTTTTGTTCATTGTTATTTTATCTTGTTTGTGTTAGACACAAACAATTTGACCCTAAAAAACAAATGCATATGTTATCATAATTATACTTACCTGCATTATAAGCTTAAATTATCTTTAGTATCTCTGGTTAGGTAGATATGACTATTTTTTAGGGTTATTTTCTAAATCTTGAATAACTGTAAATAATATTTCTTCAGGTACACAGAAGTGCAGCAGGCAGGAGAAGAAATCTTGAAGCTCATAAAAAGAAATTATCATTTATACTTGGATTTAGATGAACAGCTTGCTGAAGCCAAAAAGAATGATGAGCAAGAGAATGAAGGGAAAATACCTGTTCAAAATAAAAGTAATCCATCATCAAATGAAAGCAAGGAGAATGTAAATAATATGAATGAAAATGAAGATCTTAAAGAGGAAAGAGTGAAATTTACAGAGGAAAAAAAAGAAAGTAAAGAAAGGGAATGTGAGAGAGAAATTGGGTCAAAAAGTAATAATGTAGAAGAATTTGAAAACCATCATGGAAGATCTAAACAAGATCTTACAAATGGTAGAAAATTCTTGAGTCTTGAAATGAGAGACACCCAAAAGAAAACAAAAAGTGATCAAAATGAAGAAAAAATAGATGAGTCAGAAATGAAATCACCATCAGACAGAAACATGTTTAAAGCAAGGTAAAATTATGTTTCAAAATGTGATGTAATAACAAATGTTTGTTTTTCAAAATGTAATGTAACTGTAATGACAAACCTGGTAATATTTAATTTTATTTAAATTATACTTCTTAGATCTCACAGTGGCATGTTGGTATCAGATACTCCTACAATGGTAAATGGAAACGAAACAGAATCTCATCTAATAGTAAGTACCTTTATTATCATCTTTGCAGTACCTGACAATACATTAAATGCTGGAGAATCATTATATTATGTCTTCATTCTCAGACAGCAGTGCAAATTATTGAGAAAAGAGAACGTTATGCAGATAAATGGAAGAAATATGTTGATTATATTGATGACATAGTGATGAAAGGATTGCTAAATGCTGTTGGCCGCAGGTAAAAATGGCAATGTGGGGGCAGAGCGGAATGGAACAGGCTAAATGGTGGAAAGGGGGAAGCATGGACAGGAACGAGGTGTGCAGGACGGGCAGGGCTAGTTAACATATGATTGTGATAAATAACCAGACGACATGAAGTAATCTGCTAATATTTCATAATATTGTAATGAACAATCTTAAACTGTTTAATGCTCAGCTTTTGTGTTATTTCTAGCTCTCTCATCTCCCTTATCTAGTTGACTTTTAATATTGAATAGCTTTTCATCTATGTCACACCAATAGTTCCATAACAAATGTAAGGAGACTAACATATGCTAGAAAACATGCTTTTATTCATAAAAATTTTTAGGATGTTTTTCAAATTGAAATTTAATATTTTTTTCTCTTAAATGATCAAAATTTTTTTCCTTAAGACTTTCAAACATGGAAAACCAAAAAACAAGCTATAAACATACAAGAAAATTCTGACACAGTTTGTAGATTAGTATTTGCATGAAATTTATTTGTGTGTCTCAATTGAATATTAAGTCTTAGTCTCTCCTTGTGTATATTACTTCTCATCAATACTGCAATGAAATTAAACAATTTATCATTTAGGATTCAAAGTAAGATTTCTGAAAATGATAGAAGTGTTCTCTTTTATCAACTGTAAATGCGCATTCTTACTTTAATTTTTTGTCTTTCTTTTTTATTGATAGTCTTCACTTTTTTATGGAAGAGATGGATGAAGCTGCTCCTCCTCACCCTTTATTTGAAGTGGCTCTTGAATTACAAGAACCAAACATAATATTTGTACCATCCTTGGATTTAGATGATCCTAAATGCTTTCATTCACTCATAGAACGTCTATTAAATGATATTGTTGTAATAGCAGAACTTGTACCTCGAGTAAACGCCGTTAACGAAAAAATTATTTCCTCCTCAAGAACATCTGTAACTTCAAATCAGTTACCACAGCTAGATGATTCAAATGATCAAGGAAATGAAGAAATAATTCTAGATAATGGAGAGAAGGAGGTAGTAGAAGGTAATGAAAGTGAAGAAGAACTTGGAGAAGAAACAGATGACGAAGAGGAGGAGGAAGAGGAAGAAGAAGAGGAAGAATGGAAGAGTGAAAAAGATCAATATATCAAAAGGGTGTCTTCCTTTGCTAGAGAAGAAACAAAAGATCATGGACAAGAAGTGAAAATTCAAATACCTCCTGTGAATTATCGGGTAACTATAACATAATATTTCATTTTATCATTTTAGAAATTTTAGAATGACAATTTAGCTTAAATGTTTTATCCCCCCTAAATTGCGACTTTGATAACCCTAGCTTCTATCCTCTTTTTATCAACCGTTACTTGACTTTATTTCATTATCTAATTTTCAAATATTCATTAATTCAATGAGAAACACTCAAAAATGTGAAGAAGAAGAAATGAGACATGATTTTTTCTTGAACTTTCAGGATAGTATTGAAGAAAACATTGATGTATGTGATATGAAGAATGAAACATTGTGTCGAGTTCGTCTTGCAATGTCTGAGGTAGGCAAGTGATTTCATACTTGTTTTGTATGGGCAATGAAATTATTCTGTGGTGGTTTTGTATTGTCATGTAACTTGTCTCCGAGAGACTAGTTGGAACAGAAAAAGTATGTTGTTTCATATTTGATATTGAAGTATAATTTGCTCTCTTATAATTAAAATCTCAATAAACTAAATTAAAAATGTATGTATTTTTATCAACTTCATACCAAATGTTTTTGTTAATCAAATATGGTGAAGTGTTTCATGGGTTTAATTTTTTTAATGATACAACAATATTCAATTGCAATGGTGGTTTTACTTACAAGTTATTCTACTGCACAACTATAAAATGTAGGCAACATTTCTATTTGAATTGGACTGTAACCATCAAAATTAATAAATTTCCTTTCCTTATTAATCCTTATTTCCTTCCTAATAATAAATTCCCTTTCCTTTTTTCCTTCCTAAATTCATAAATTCCCTTTATTAATAATAATTTACAAAAATATATTTTGCCTTTTTCTTATGTTGTATCAATCTATAACACTGGCGGATCCAGGGGGAACCATCCCCTTCACCCAGAACGCATAGAGTTTTCATTTACCTTCCTTTATTTGGCAAAATTAATTTAAATATTTATTTATATTAGAATTGTGTAATTATTTCAACAATAATATTATATAGTATCATAACTACAGTACATAAATAATATGCAATATAATAACATATATGTTTATTATTTAACAAAAATCCACAAAGCCCCCCCCCCCCATAATATTGGCTGGATTATTGATACCATTGATACTGATCTATTGATACCATTAATATGTTAACTTCAGAAGGATTTATTTATATTTTGCAACTCTCATAGAGCAACCAAAAATATGAATATCATAATGAAATTGAATATATAAATCCTTCATTCTAACTATCTGAAATGAAGAATTGGAATATTCATTCCAACTATTTGAAATGAAGAATAGAGGAGTTTTAATATAAATATAAGGCCATGAAACCTTCTGCATCAAAAGATATTTGCGTGTAAAATATAGAAGTTGTTAAACACAAAATAACTGAAAAGAAATTTCACCATCATAATATGCTCAATAAAAAGGAAAAACAGCTTTTTAGATTTTATGCATTAATTCTGAAGTAATTTTACAATTCTGAGATATTTTATTGTATATTTACAGGCTGTGAAATACTCTAATAAATTTGAAAAATATGCATATCTTTGGTTAGAAGATCGAAATGAACACCTTCAATATTTTCTTAAGCATGGTCAGCCTTTAGAACTTGAAGAAGAACATGAACAGCAGCAGCAATTACAACAACAGCAGCAGCAGCAACAACAAGAAGATGAAAGTGGCCTTGAAAAACCACCTGGTCCAACTCTAGGACATTTCAAAGAACAAGTTTGTATTATCAAATGCATAGAAAATTTAGAAAGAATTTTAATTTAGAAGAAATTTAAAACATTAGAAAATACTAATGTCAACATTATCCTTTGATTGTGGAGTTACATAAAACGTTTAAGAAAGTGTGTGATTCATGATTCAAAATTTTATTTTATTTGTAGCAATGGAAATGCTTTGTATAACATTATTTTTTTAACTTGTGCCATCAAAATATTTATCAGTCATCTTTTCTCAGTTGTATTAAAAGTTTATAGTTAGCATTAAAGGCATGGCATGTGTACACAACAATTTATAGATTTGAATTCCACTTTAAAATTATGCTTTGTGAATGGATTAGATTAGATTAAATTATTATATATTAACCAATTGGTCATACTTTGTCATGACATGAAACATGTCATTGTTTTTAAAAACATTCAACACTTACAACAAGTTAACTTTACAAATACAACAGTCGAGCAAGTGCACCAATATAAATGTAAGAATAACAGAACTTCAGGGCCTAACCAACCATAGTGTTATATACAAATATCCCTATATTCTTGATGCAATAGCAATAACTATGACAATTTGCATTCATTCTTTTAATTTTTGTGAAATAATGTATAAAACACTATTAATACTCACATTCCCCCAATAGTTCTGGTCATTTTTCTCCAAATGACAAAAAAATATATTTTACAGATTGATTATTATGGTAAATTGTATGAGGAAGTTGAAGAAATTGAAACATCAAAGACAATTTCTTCATGGTTCAGAGTCGATGTGCGACCTTTTAAGCAATCACTCTTGAATACAGTGTGCAAATGGGGAAACTTATACAAGCAACATTTGGCGGAAAATGTTGTAAAGAAGTAAGTAGAAACCATTTTTTGCATTTTTATGTTAAATAGCTAATGGTTATTATAACATAATTTCTATTATTGTGTCTCCCTTTCCTTTCTCGTTCACCAATTATCTTTCAGTCCTTCGAATCTCTAACATGTGCCTCCTTTGAAAATAGTGCATACTCGGTATTTTTGAAGATAGATCCTTTGCTTCTGCAACTTGGACTCTACATTCTATTCTTCTTTCCATGTCATTTATCTTGACTCTTCATATATGTTAATCATTATGTTCCTTCACTCATGGAACTTGGGTTTTTTTTTTTTTTTTCTTCTGTGAATATATTACACTATCCTTTCTAGTTCCTTCCTTTTAATATGTTCTTGTAAAATCATTCTACAATTATATTTTCATTTATTGCCTTATGTGCCTGAAGTTTTTCAAACTTTACATTCAACTCTTTATTCAGTCTCATGCAGTACCTGAAATCATCTGTTACTTTTTAGAACCCCAATATTATTTTTCCATTCATTTTCCATCGTTACGCTCTGCAAGAAGTTCAATAGACGAAAGACTTTCATTTCCCTCCCTCTCTATCCTTTTCTTTGACTTTCTGTTTTTTTCTCTCTCTGCGTCTGTCTTCCTCTGTTTCTTCATGGAGAAATTTCACAATTGCAAGGACAGAATACGCAATGAAAACATCTTAATAATTGTACTTCAGTGTGCAACGCGGTGCCTCAAGGTCCGTTACGTTGAGCTCAGGGCCCCTTGAGTCAGCATAAAATAATCAACAATGCGCGTCTATGTGCGCAGTCATATGCACATTCCTATCGTACTATGCCTATGTTCTTCCTGGAAGTGCAAGCAATACCTTGACATTTTATCACAATCATTTGTTTTGTCGCAAAGTCATCTAGTGGCTCAGTGCGAAGACGCTCGCCTTCACCAAGAAGTTTGATTCCTGTCGAATCCCGGACAATCTCATGTGAAATTTGTCTCAACAAAACCAGTTTGGCTGCTTCACAAGGGCTAGTGGCTCTGTGAAGTGTCCTAAACCCTACCTCAATCCTAATTCCTTCCCAATTCTGACCGCTGGGTAGAGACGCAGGAGCGCCTAGTAAGAAGCGCGTACGCAGAGATGCTATCTGGCCTGTGAAAATGGCTTCCATGCTGTTCTGAGGTGGAAGTAAAATCCTGAGGTAGCAAAGTGTTGATTAAACTTATCTTTGTGTCTGTGCATTAAAAGCATCTCTCCCAAACGTCACCAGGTGGTAGAAATTAGTGGTATTTCACACCTTACTTTTTGGTTGCATTTTTCCACATGCTCCTCTCTTCCACATCGGAGCAGCAATGCTCCCTGGATGATGTCAAGTGCAGACAGGTCTTGAATTTTTATTTTTGTTCTAATCACTGCTCACCATTTTTTTATTGCACCAGTGGTATATATTTCACTTTCTTATATATGTAAATAGAGAAACGACCATAATACACACACACACAAAACGTTTTGGAGATTTGATAGGAATCTACATTTTGAGATCAGTGGTACAGGTAAAGCGTTGTTCTCTTTTTCAATGTCTGTCTGTCTTTCTGTCCGTGGATAAATTGTCTTTCTGTTTTCCCCCCTATCTTTGGATAACACTAGCCCTTCACAAAATATTCTCCAAATCAATATTGATATGCAGCACTCAAAATCCTGTAAAGTTGAAACAGCTAATAATTTCTGTGAGTCCTTCATGCAAAGCCTTTGTGGCAATTTCAAAATTGTCTCAAAATGTCTCCAATTTTTTCTTTAATTTTTCAGCTTGGTAAGAGGGATGGGGTGCTTATAAATATGGGAAAGTACAATTTTTATTCAAACCTGGGAATTTTTGAAAATTACAATGTTTAACATTTTTTGAACTGTGGCACCCATTGAAAGCATAGGCCAGAGTTAATACTTGGTTGCCCGGAAGCCATCATGGTGTGACCTTCCTCAAGGCAAAATTAATTTACCCTGCATTTACTTTGCAATTACTCTGAGAACACACATTCAACCATGAGGAAAGACACATTGATGTACAGGAAGGAAAGACTCCTGAGGACACGGTATGTTCTGAACAGTCAAGTAGATACTATCACTCCATTATTGAAGGTAGAAATATTTTCTCAATGTAACTGATTCTTCAATATTAGAACTTTTGGTGAATCATCAAAATATAAATATCAAAATCAAAGCTGTGTCAATATTGTAAAAAAATCTATAGTTTAATATTATACATCAACTTGTGCACCTTGCACAGTTTTCTTAAACAGCATCTCAATGTCTGCAGCAGTTCAGGAGATATTCAAAGAGAACATCTGAAGTAAGCCATCCCTGTATAATGTTTTTGAACAATACATTTTTCAGTGACTATGACAAAACTTGTCTGAAAAAATTGTACTGACTTAATTTCTGATTTGCTGAAGATTTCCTTTTTGAGATCTTTGAGATAGATTCAATACTTCCTAGTCCAAATTTCCAATATTCAAGTGACCTAATACTTCAAAATTATCATTGTTACAAAAGGATGAAAATAAAAGGCAATTATTTTAATATTCATGGTGGAATAAAAACCATAAATGATTGTATGGAAGTAATTTGATGGGAAAATTATTTTGCTGGCTTCTCTGGAATATAAATTAGTGATAGAACCAGATTAATCAAGTGAATGACATTTATTTCTGAACAGATTTTTTTTCTGTTCACAAAATTACTGGCATGAAAACAGTTTCTTTACATTCCATTGATGTTCAAATTAATGTGGTGTGGTTTGTTATTTCATTAAAATGGGGGGGAAAATGTTTACTGTCATTATGAAATACAAATAAAATTATTATAAAATACAAGTTTCTAAATGTATGTTGTATATATTATTTTCCTCTCGGATGTCCTTAAAATTTCAGATTATCAGATTTATCCGATTTCACTGAGAAAGCTGATTTTGAGCTGCAAAAGCCAGTCAAAGAAGGAGAATATGAAAATCTTGTTAATGTTATTGATATTCTATATCATGTGAGAGAAAACCAAGCAGACACTGACCACATGTTCGAACCAATAAAAGATACCATGGACTTGTTAAAAACATACGGTGTTGAATTTCCAGAAGAAGTGTACGTCCAACTCCAGGTATGTTGATTGAGACCTTTAAATTATTGCAGAGCAATATATAATATATCCATATACTTTGTTAAGTTTTTGAAAAATAAAATTTTCTCAAATGGAAATAGTACCAACTTACAAAATTCTTTGCACTCTATAGAAAAGATTCAATTTAAGAGTTATTAATGTGAAAGAAAAATCAGTAATCTGAAAACTTGGAAGTGAAATTTATTCATTAATATGAGAGATTAACAACATTTTAATAATTAATAATTCAATAATCTGTAATCATTTCTGAGATAAGATAAATTGTTCAATGCTTAATGTACATGTACCGTAAATATGAATTCCAACTGAAATTAACTATATTCATAATTCACATGTCAGTCAAGAAGAAACTGTTTTGAATTTGAAATAATTTTATAGCATATACAGAACTTCTGCATTACACCAAGACACTTGTGCAACATTTTGCGTTTAAGATGACAATATACAAAACCCATTACATTCTAGAATGAATTTATGAATTCTTATAATTTCAAGGAGCTTCCAGAAAAATGGGCCACAACAAAGAAAATTGCAGCTGTTGTCAGACAGTCACTGCAACCTTTGATGGCAACAGAAGTGAACATGATACGGAAGAAGATAGTTTATTTTGATTTGCGACAATCCCAATACAGAAATAATTTCAGAAAATTAAATTTGTTCAAGTATGTTATTTTAAATTGATAGCGAGAGTAAGAAAATAATATATTAATTAATCTGGTCTCTCAAATAAGGTTAGTTACCATTAATGAACAAGCCACACTTAGTTTCTGAATGTTTGATATAGGTATGAGTGTAAATATGTTTATGAGCTACTTGATGATGCAAATCAAAGTGTGTTTGAACTTGAGAAGGAAATGTCTAATCTTCAAGAACAAGCTTCAAAATTTGAAGTCAATGTTCCAGATTTCAAGTTGCTAAAAATGTGTCGACGGGAGATTCGAATGCTTAAGGTGATCTTTTGTAAATCTTGCCTTTTAACAATTAAGAGATAATTCAGAATGAGATAATTATAGTCATATTTTGCAGATATTATGGGATTATGTTTTAATAGTGAGATGTAATATGGATGAATGGAAAACTACTCCTTGGAAGAAAATTGATGTTGATTGTATTGAAATGGAATGTAAAAAGTATGGAAAGGAATTAAGAGGTTGTATTTTTTATTAATACAAATTTTACAAAACTTATAGTACTAAAATAAGTTATGTGAAACTATATAATTTGGTATTACAGAACTTTATATAATTAATATTTCAATTACTAATGCAAAATTTAGGTTTGGATAAGGATATGAGAGGATGGGATGTTTATGTATCTTTGGAAGCTACACTGAAAAATCTTTTGACATCATTAAGGGCAGTAACAGAATTACAAAATCCTGCTATTAGAGAAAGGCATTGGGCACAATTAATGGAAGCCACGAAGGTCAGCCGCACCAGTATCTGTAAGTTAAAGCTTACTAGTGCATGCATAGATGTGCAGCTTATTCGTCTCGTCATCTATTTTAAACTACAAGATACAAATGTTCTTGGTATGTCCTTTGGTGGAAACAATTTATCTGACTTCTTCACTTTCCTGCTTAATGCACCTAGCTTAAAATATTGCACTGTAATAACTTTGTGGATACTCTAATTTTTTATTATTCTTTGTACAATAATTATTTGTACTTTCAATAGCATTTTGAAGGAAACAGCTGATAAACATTCACTAATATTTCAATTGATTTCCCGAGTCTTCCAAAAATTTTTATTATTAGAAACAATCTGTGTACCTAACTCTGCACACAGTTACAGAAGTTACAACACTACTAATAAATTTAAGTTACTACGTTTGCTTGATGAATATACCTGTTATTTTTCAAGATTTTTCTAAAATCTAAATTATCATAGTCCACATTTTTAAAGAAAAGTTCACCCTAAAGAACCCTGTGAGTTGTATTAAATTGTGAATGAAATAGTGGAAATTCCATTGCCATGAACTCACAGTGCAGATCAAAGGTAACACCTACTCAGTGCCCTTCCCTCAAGCAAACTTTTTTTGTTAGTGTAATATTACCCAATTACTTCAATATTCAAAAAACCACAACATAATTTTAATTCATCTGTCCATAACTATTATTTATAGTTTGAGAAACATCATTTGAAGATTCTATTACACAATTCATAAAATCAAGAAAAATATTCCAAGTTTAAGTATTGAGGTTGCGCAGGTCTAGAAATAAATTGGGCATTTGCAATTTCAAAAATTCAAATTTTTAACTAAATTGTGACTTTATTATCAAGCACTTCTATTCTAACACCAATTTAGAAAAAATATTGAGAAAATGTAGAAAATGAAGAATAAGTCTTACTAAATTCCATTGAATCTCAGAAAACTACAAGTTGATAAAATATATATATCTATCAAAAATTTCTGGAAAAACATTTTAATTACTTAATAGATTGATGAACTATTGATCAGTAGCAGAAAATAATGTTACTGAACCACACAAATTGTTTTCCAAAAACACACTCCAAATAGGAACAACAAATAAATTACTTTCGTTTAACACTGAAGTAAATTAAATATTTTAACAAAAAAAGTGTTCACAAATAATGCATATAGAGTACAAGGTATGTACGTCTTTACATACCAAGAACATCAAAAAAGTTGTTGTTCCCTGACACAACTTGTGTGTGGCAAATGTTTTTAATGGTGAGAGACCTCTTCTTTGGAGGCTTGCTGACACATGACATCAGCTGTGGCATTAGCACTTAGTATATGAATTCAGTCAATAAGCACAGTATGAGAATAGGTGTCAATTCACTATCAAATATTGTCATTTTTCAGTCAAAATCAAAACTGTTAATTGATTTTGTATTTTCCCTGAGTTCTTTTGTATTCAACAAAGCCACAGACTCCTTTCAGATGGCCAGAGGCTGTCTAGACTGCTATAACCAGAAAGTTAAAAAAGTTAACAAGGAAACTTCAGGTACATCTGTGTTAATCAAGAAACAGTTAAGCTTAAATAGTGTGAAGAACCTTATTGATGTTTCTCTAAACCCTTGAAGAACATTTTTGTTGATTACAGAATCAGTGAGAAGCCACCCAGAAGATTGAACAAGCCACAATTTATTGATACAATTTTTTAAATTTTTCATTCCTTTCATTCATGAGATCATGAAGAATATAGCAATATTTCATCCTAAATTATGGGAAATATCAATTATAGACTTGTTATATCAATAATTTATATAATCATTACAACATTTTAAAAATTATTATTGATTGTGGAATGTTTTTATTTCAAATATTTTTTAATCCCTAATGTAACTGACAACACGAGAATTTCTCAATTACTGTTCATTCCCCATCACCACTTCCTCCTCCACCACCACCACCACCACCACCACCACCACCCTCATCATCATCATCATCATCATTATTATCATCACTGTCATCATCATTGCCATATATTGTATGTTGCTAGGTATGTTGCCTGTTCCTGTTTTGCGATTCACATGGCAGGTTTTTAACCCTTCCAGTGTTCCAGATATTTCTATTTTCTTTTGTGGTCTCCCCGTATCTTTTTGTCCTACTGGTTTATTATTCAATTCTGTCTTTGAGAATATTTCTCCCTTCATTCTGTTGATATGAGAAGAACATTTCTTCTGACTTCCTTTATTTCTTACTAGTCAAATTAGAGATATTATTTACATCTAGAAAAAAGATCAAAGTGAATCATGATCTTATTTAATGAACTTAAATGTATAGACTACCTATGGAAAAATCTTTCTAATTGATGAAACGTAGTAATTTTCACATAGATATAAACATTTTAAAATTAATACATAATTAAAGAAAATTAAAATGTATTGTTTAACTCAACTGAAAATTAAAGTACAAGGTCAATTTCAACTCAACTTATTGCCTTGGACATAAATATTTACCATGACCCTTAAGATTTCAGTGTAAAACTAAACATAATATTTTAAAACATACTTTCTATTGCATAGCACTTCAAAAACATATCTGCATGTTAAAACTTTCATGCAGAAAAAATGAATGATTTTTTTTAATGGCATTTATTTTTATGTGACAATTATTTTCAAATAATATTTTATGCATGATGAATAAAAATGGTTTCATTAAAAATATCAGAGAAGAATGCTGTATTATATTTTAACTTAAAAGTTTTCAGAATTATAAATTAGATGAGTTGCATCTTGAAGAGAAAGTTTTTCTTGATATGAATTTGCAGTAGTGAATGGTAATTTCAGTTAAATATATTTTTGCCATCATGAGGAAAAATCACATATGACTTGAATTTTTCATGTATGATTAAAATTTTGCCACTGGAGTATGTTGAAGTATTCACCTTTCTGTTCCAATATTTGTATCTCTTTGATTTTGTTTCATGCTGCAAGAGTAAACAACGATTCCCTCATTACACTGTAAGTATACATACACACCTGTCGAAGTTTCCTGGCCAATTTGCTCCCTTGTGCTTTTTGACTTCAGAGCTTTTGTATAAAGCTGAATGCAGAGAAGAATTTTTAGTGGATTTAAAATATCTGTATAATACACATGATATGTTTTCTGATCCAATGGCATTGAAATGTATAATCTGTTCTGTATATAATAAAACAGGAAGTATTCTCATTTGAAGACTTTTCTTGAAATTATTTACCTACTCAAATTATCAGTTATGTAAAACTTATTTCTATCTAAAACCTTATGTCCATGTTTGACCAGGTTCAATTTATTATGAGTGACAGTACAATTTTAGCTGATCTTTTGGTACTTAATCTGCATAACTATGAAGAAGATGTTAAAAATATTGTTGACAAAGCAGTAAAAGAAACATCAATGGAAAAAATATTAAGAGAACTGAATGCAACTTGGTCAGCTATGAATTTTGAATATGAAAAACATGAACGTACGGGTGTGATGATTCTTGTACCTCAAGAAGAACTCATTGAAACATTGGAAGAAAATCAAGTAATCAACATAATATTTTGCCAGGATCTTGTGCATTTCTTGGGCCTTTTTTTTATTAACAATATTTCTAATAAATTTTTCATCTTAGGTACAACTACAGAATCTCATGAGTTCTAAATACATATCATATTTTCTTCAAGATGTAGCACATTGGCAACAAGTTCTTTCAAATGCAGATCAAATAATACAAATCTGGTTTGAAGTTCAAAGAACATGGACTCACTTGGAGTCTATTTTTATTGGTTCTGAAGATATACGAAGTCAATTGCCAGATGAATCTGGAGCCTTTGACGAAATAGACAAAGACTTTCGAGTAAGTTGAAGAATGCATGTTGAAAAAAAAAGTAATCCTATACCAAATTACATTTAACAATTCTTTATTCAATAGATTCTTCTCGAAAATATGGCTGCAACACCAAGTGTTCTTGACGCCACGAGCAAGCAAGGACTGTGTGAAAAATTGGAAGAAATTCAACATAAACTTGTGAGATGTGAAAAAGCATTGGCTGATTACTTGGAAACAAAACGGAAAGCATTCCCTCGTTTCTATTTCATATCTCATGTTGACTTATTGGACATACTATCCAATGGAAATCAACCTGAATTAGTTGCTAGGTAATGCATTTTTATACTTACATATTAAATAGAGAAGATTTATTCGAAAACATATATATGCATGCATGTATCAGCATTGCTGTTTGTGATGCTTGATTGTTGGAACAACAGAATAGATTTTGGTGACCTAATTTCATGGGCTGAATTTAAAAATTTTCAGACATCTATCTAAGTTGTATGATTCAATGGCTAAGCTGAAATTTGATAACTCTTATGCAGTTGGAATGTATGCCAAAGACAGTGAATATGTTCCATTTTGTGAACCTTGTGATTGCTCTGGGAAGGTAAGCAGATTTACTTTTAGAAGGGGAAAATTGTCCATTTCTTTCTTGTAGTATTCAATTGTCAATTTGAACGTCCAGGTTGAACAGTGGCTGATTCAACTAACAATTACTATGCGTAAAACAATGCGCCATAACTTTGAAGACTGTATTTTGACGTATGAGGAGAAGGCTCGGGAACAATGGATATTTGATTATCCAGCTCAGGTGGCCTTAGTTGGTACTCAGATCTGGTGGGCAACAGAAGTGAATATAGCATTCTCAAGGTTAGAAGAAGGTTATGAACATGCTATGAAAGAATATCAAAAGAAGCAGGTCAGTAGCTTAAAATTAAATAATTATAGGAGGTTTTTATTCTTATGGTGCAGTATAGAGTTTTGAAATGAGCCTAGTTTGGCTGAATGTTGACTACCTTCACTGCAGAAAAATTCAGATATTGCAAAATTTATTTATTTATTAATCAACTTTTCAACCATCATAGAACATTTATTTTATTATGTGTCAAATACGAGTGTGTTATGGATACAAACTTAATATTTATTGCTCATAGACATTTACAAATATAAAATGTATCAAGCAACTCCACATCAACCGTCATTTTAATATAATTGTAACATACTTTTATATAATCGGTATAAAAGTAAAAATACAACTATAATAATTTTAGATAATTTTGACATTAGTTCTTTTAGGCTGATGGGCATTTTGCAAAATTAGGGAAACATGTTATTATTATAACTATTCAAAGCAGTAACTCAATCTCTGAAATACCATCAGGGCAAAATTCAACAGGAATAAGCTTAACAATGATACAATTGTTTTTATTGATGAAGAAATACTGTAATTAGAAAACGCATGATGTATTGTAGAAATAAACTTCACCCTGAACTTCCACAAAGAGATTCCAGTTTACACAGTATAAATTTATGTATTTATTATATTCTTACAGAGTATTCAATGATATTTATAGTAATCCAACATCACATAAAATTCTTCAGTTAACCACATTACTCAATTCATTGTTCTAGGCTTTAATAGCGTTAGTTTGATACAAACATGTTTTCTTGGTACTGCTTGTTCATATTCTCATATGTTGATTTCTTCACGTGGAGCCTTGTAAAGGATAAGCAAAATTCCATAGCTCATTTGTTCATCATGAATAGTTTTGGTTACAGGGGAAGTAAACATTTTTGTTAATATAAAATTTTGCCAAAAATGCTCAGTGCCACTTTTATTCATTATTCAATTTAATACAGTAAAATAGCAGGAGTAGGAATTCCAGAGCTCAAGTGCATGGATTATATTACTCACTCATAAATCACAAACAGTTTATTAAATGTGTTTTGAAGTTAGATAAATGTAGTAAATATATGAATAAAATATCATGTAGCATTTTACTTTTGCACTATGAATTGTAAGTAAGTTGTGCAAAGGAAATGCAAGTTTCATTACATTATTATATCATAAAAAAGTAATTCAATCTTTTATTTGCGTTGACCCCCAAAACATTATTCCAGTATTTGGATTCGTGTATCGCTTTTATGCTTGTCTCGGGGTGACAGGGGCATTTGTTCAGCGAAGCTGAATGTTGTGAGTTTGAGTTCTATGTAAATCATGGGTGTTTTCACCTGGTAGTTATGGCATAGTTTGCTTCTCAATACCACCATGTGTTCACATCTGAACATTCATCTCTCAGATTATCACTCTTGTTAATCATTCTTGAAGTAGAAGATAACATCAAATCACTGTGATCACTTGCCCAAGAAAGGAAAGTACTCCTTCCCAGTACCACTTTCACTTTTTGTACCACTGTTCAAAATCTAAAAATCCTCCTTTATCATTTAATAATGTGTTGAAATATGTCAGACATTGAATAGTTCGTTTGAGAGTAATGTCTTCCGTTTTTTTTTATTTCAACATCATCCTTTCTCTTTTCTAGTTTATTGAGAAACTCTTTCCTCAGAATAACTACTCTATATACAGTTATACAGTTAAATAATTCCATTCATGTACATTTCAGTACTAGGTGATATAAATGAAGAAGAAGGCATAAGAAGGGAAGAAATCAGCCATTGCCCCCCTCCCCACAGATAGATAGTAAATGAATGATGGGATTACACAAAATCACAGGAAAAAAGAGGATAATTGTGAGAAAATCTACACTATGACCACAAGAAATTCAACTCGAGTTGAATTCATTTCTCATAATTATTGTCTAAATGGAATGCATTAATTTGATTAAAGTACCTTTCTTTAGAACAATTGTCAGGCATGGAAAATCATGGTACAAGTTGTTTAAGGAATTTAAATGGTAATTAAATTTGCAGATTGCTCAGTTAAATGTTCTCATTACTCTACTGTGTGGAGAATTGACTGATGGAACTCGCCAAAAGATCATGACTATTTGTACAATTGATGTACATTCAAGAGATGTTGTAGCTAAAATGATACAAATGAAAGTTGACAACTCTCAAGCTTTCCAATGGCAGTCACAGTTGAGGCATCGGTAAGTATCCTTTATTCAATTTTAAAAAATATTGCTGTTTAAACGATGTTATTAACAACATATCAGTTAAACTGATAAGTATCAAAACTAATGAAATCAGTAAAGTGAAATAATTTTTGAATATACAAATAAAAGAGCACAGAATTTGTTTAAATCACAATGCTGATTTGTTAACCAACTAGAGTTTCCTGATGTTTGAAGTGTGTTTCCTTGTTTAAGGTGGGATGAAAAAGTACGGGATTGCTTTTGTAATATTTGCGATGCTCAATTTCGCTACTCTCATGAGTACTTGGGTTGTACTCCACGATTGGTCATAACACCTCTTACTGATCGCTGTTACATAACCCTTACCCAAGTTGGTATTTTCCTAATTTTGTAGGAAGTAGGAATATATATTTATTTCATGTCTTAATAAAGAAATAGCTGTGGAGTACAACTTAATATTATTGCATACGACAATTTATATCAACTTAACCTTCTTTTTAGTCACTGCATTTGGTAATGGGAGGGGCTCCAGCAGGACCTGCAGGAACAGGAAAGACTGAGACGACAAAAGACCTTGGACGAGCAATGGGAGTAATGGTGTATGTATTTAATTGTTCTGAACAAATGGATTACAAGGTTGGTCTGATAAGTGGAGCATCAGATAAAAATCATGCATTCAAATTTTTACAAGTAATTTTATTTATATTTTTCAGTCATGTGGTAATATTTATAAAGGACTGGCACAGACTGGGGCTTGGGGCTGTTTTGATGAATTCAACCGGATATCAGTAGAAGTATTGTCTGTAGTGTCTGTACAAGTTAAATCAGTTCTTGATGCTGTTAAAACAAAGAAAATTACCTTTAATTTCATGGGAGAAGAAATTCAATTGGTGCCCACTGTTGGTATGTTCATTACAATGAATCCGGGTTATGCAGGAAGAACTGAACTGCCAGAAAATCTGAAAACCCTGTTCAGGTACTAACCGTCATATATTTTTCTTCTCAGCTAAACATGTAGAACAGTCATAGCCTAAAATAGATCTAATATAATTTTCAATTATTTTTCAGACCATGTGCCATGGTAGTACCTGATTTTGAACTGATTTGTGAAATTATGTTGGTAGCAGAAGGCTTTCAAGATGCTCGATTGTTAGCTCGGAAATTTATTACTCTTTATCAATTATGCAGGGAACTACTTTCCAAACAAGATCACTATGACTGGGGTTTACGAGCTATTAAATCTGTGCTGGTTGTGGCTGGAGCACTGAAGGTACTGGTCCAATTTCTTTCAATTAAAGATTGTGTATTCCTCCAATTAAAAAAAAATCTGCTCTCATTCATATGTGAATACTCAAGCAGATATTCTACACTTTTTTCAAGTAGAAGTAGTAATAAAATCAGAAATTTATGTATAAACTTGTTTCACTGCTGGACACTTGTTTTCATGGACCTGAAGAACAAGGCGAAGAGCGATCATGCAGTACGTTTTTGCTGGTATTCCTGTCACCTGTACTTGGGAGATTTTCCTGTTCAAAGTTGTCCAAAGTGTAGAAGAATGTCTTGATACTCACTGTTTTATTTTGTTTTCTGTGATGAATGTATTTTAGTCTAGTTTTCAGTAGGGAACAATTATTATCAGGTCACTGCTGATGTCTGTGCCTGTATATTTGTTGTCTGTATGAGCATTCAAGGACTGTGCAGGAAAACAAACAATTTCACCTCTTTGCTAGCAATTCAAAGGAGACAAAGCAGTGCAATAATTGAAATAATAATGCCAATTCCAAAATGTTTATTATTACGATTTTGTTAATCACATGACAATTCTGTGTTATGGTACAACAGAAAAATCAATTTTTTTATATTTTCCAGCTAATTTAGTACTACCTACAGTCAGGTAATTCAAAAAGTTTTAAAATGAAAATGTTATTCAGTTGTTACTAAAAGAAATTGCAGATATTTGATTTATTTATACTAACATGCATCTTTCATATACAATTATTTGAAGTACCATAAACATGAAAGTTAAATATATTGATGTATTACAACACCAGTTACACTCTGGCAATGTTTCAATTTACATGAAATTAGTCAAAATAATACTTTTATAATTGCAGTGGGATTTATACTTAAATAATTTGATAAACTTTCTCTATATCTCTATTAAAATACCAACCAATAAAAGAAAATAATACAATTAGTTTGTGACAATTAAGAAAAATACTTCATTCTTATAAATAAAATGCTATGTTGCATTAATTCCTATGACTTTTATTTCTAATTAAGGTTTCGCTGGAAATAACTGTTTTTCATGCACTTCTACAAATCAAAGTACATCTCTCCTTAAATCAGAACATGAACAAAAAAGTGAATAATTCAATAATTTCATTGACAAATGTCACAGTTTTAGATTATTTTTACTAGCGCATTTTTGTGTATCACTATCACAAACAAATGTTACACATACAAAACACTAAAGAATGATGTTTTGACATTTGATTTTTGGCTTGCAAAGTCTTTCCTTAGTGCTTTAAACATAACTAAGAAAAGACTTCTACACACAATATGGTAAGCACATTTCCACAACTTGTGCACTTTCTGAATGTGTATGTCTTGAGCATGATTGAAAGGTCAATTGCCCTCAAGCTGCATGTTCAGTGTAACAAAACAAATTATAACTAAAGTGATTGTCCTGAAAACCAAATTTTGTTGGCATATATCAGGGATTGAATCATTTTTAACCCAACGAAGAATGTGCATGTTCACCTAAATGAGTGTGAGCATGTTCTGCATGTGATGACATATCTACAACTTTAATCTGAATAGTATAGAAGGAAAATTGAAATATGTATTAATTTTTTTGTTATGTAGCGAGGTGACAGAGAGAGACCAGAAGACCAAGTCTTGATGCGTGCGTTACGTGATTTCAACATTCCAAAAATAGTCACTGATGATATTCCAATATTTATGGGCTTAATTGGTGATCTGTTTCCTGCACTTGATGTTCCAAGAAAAAGAGATCTAGAATTTGAAAAGTTGGTGAAGCAATCTGCTGTGGAATTGAAGTTACAGCCTGAAGATAACTTTATTCTGAAGGTAGTTGACAGAAGGCATTAATATTATTTTATCCCTCCAAACTTATTACTTTCAATTCTAAAATATTTTTAGAAGAATTCATAACTTTTTCTGTATGTAATCTGAAACTAATGAGGAAGAAGTACAATACATAATTTTGGTAATATGTAATTTTAATTTGTGCTGGAAAAATGACAACAAAGTAAAAACTATTTGTGTTTCATTAAGATAACACATGTGGTTCAAGACAGCTGTTCTTGCAAGTTGTCTTCCAAGCTTAATATACAGTTTCATATAATTTTGTACTAAATATTCATTTAACAAATGTTAGACTAAATTTTATATACTGCATTTTTCAATTAATAGATAGCTATTGATTAATTGAAAGTAACAATAAGATGCATGGTTTCATAAAATTTTAAATAATGGAGTAGTGGGGGACCCCAATGTGGAATTTTACTTTAATGATACACTTGATATTACATTACAGGGATAGTTGTAAAATGAATTATAAACACTTTAAGCAAATTTTTACATTCAAATCTTAAGAAAATGCCCTCACAGGTCTCTAATATTCTTGACTTTGTAGATCGTACAACTGGAAGAGTTATTAGAAGTTCGACATTCTGTATTTATAGTGGGAAACGCAGGCACTGGAAAAACTATGGTTTGGAGAACATTGTTTAAGACTTACCAAACTCAGAAACTGAAGCCTGTTTTTAATGATTTAAATCCTAAGGCAGTAACCAATGATGAGTTATTTGGAATAATTAATCCAGCAACACGAGAGTGGAAGGATGGTAAAAATGTATTTCTTTTTTTCTGGTATATACACAATCAGTGGTGTTGAAGACAGAAGATGACTTCAGATGACATCACCTTCAGTGTGGCAGACAAAAAAACTGATTTTTTTTAAGAAAAAATTTTATTAACAAATATTTCAATTTATATAACTACATTTTTTAACATTTTAATCTAGTTCAATAATAACTACACTACAAATCAGAAGTTTTGGTTCATTTATTGGTAATTTACAACAATCAAAATTATGGAAATAATTCTGGTACAAAATTATATTATACCAAATATAAATATTTACTTGTACTTCTGTACAATGTTTGTCAACCTAAAATTGCTTGGCATTTCTTCATTATCTATAATGTTACTAAAAATTGAGGAGACTATCAAAAAGGGCTAATAAGTAAATAGAGGTGACAAGATCTGTAGTAATGCCACTGTACAAAATAAAACACACACACACACAAAAATTGACTTTTTTTTTTTTCAATGAACTTAGGTCTGCTCTCTGTACTGATGAGAGATCAAGCCAATATGTCAGGTTCTAGTCCAAAATGGATTGTACTTGATGGTGATATAGATCCTATGTGGATTGAATCCTTAAATTCTGTAATGGATGATAATAAAGTACTCACACTGGCCAGTAATGAGCGGATTGCTTTAACACCAGTAATGCGCTTAATATTTGAAATCTCTCACCTAAGAACAGCTACTCCTGCTACTGTATCAAGAGCTGGAATTTTATATATCAATCCTCAAGATCTTGGTTGGAATCCGTATGTATACACATTTTTGGAATGAAAATACTTCTACTAATATGTAAACTTATGAATTACTCTGATATTGTTTTATATATAATGAATCTAATCTTAATTTTTCTTGTGTCTGTGCGTTATATATCTTCTTCAGTTATGAGAAATACATGATTTTAGTTACATATTATCTCAGATTTAAATGATGGGGATGACAATATGATGATAATGATAATGAACAGATAAATGATGGTGAAGCATATATGATGATCGTTATGTGTGTATGTATTTGACATTTTTGGGTCAACTTCCCAACCTTGCCAGGTAGCTAACGGTGTCCCTCATGGCTGGGTGTAGTTTAATGATTGTGCCTGGCGAGACATTTAGAACGTCCCTTCATCATTTGCTACTTAACAAACTCCACCAACTTGAGCTTTTCTTTGTCTCATAGCTACAGAAACTGAGATGATTTTAAAGGAAAGCTACAACTCAGTTTTTGCTTTGGGCAATTGAAACCTAGGACCACACCACGGGAAGCTAGTATGCTACTCATGAACCATCATAGAGGCACTTCATCATCATGATTAATAATATTAATAATGTTTATAATATTAATCATGTAATTCTCCTTCTAGTTTTGTTACCAGCTGGATTGAAAGTCGTCAACAACAATCAGAGAAGGCTAGCTTAATAGTATTGTTTGACAAATATGTACCTTCATGCTTGGAAGTTCTTAGAACAAAAATGAAAAAAATTACTCCTATTGCTGAAATATCTCATGTTCAGATGCTATGTCATTTGCTGGATTGTTTATTAACTCCCACAAATGTTCCAAATGACTGTCCCAAAGAATGGTATGAAATATACTTTGTCTTTGCATGTGTTTGGGCTTTTGGATCTACCATGTTTCAAGATCAGGTAATAGCAATAAAAATTCAATAAATGCTCCATTTAACTACATAATGTAACACATCTATGATAATTAAATCATAATGTGTTAAGTATGTGGTAAGATTTGAATTATAGATAATGTATTTTTCATAGCTTACAGATTATAGAGCAGAATTTTCAAAATGGTGGGTAAATGAATTTAAAGTAGTAAAATTTCCAGCAGAAGGTTCTGTGTTCAATTATTATATTGACACAGAAACAAAGAATTTTGTTTTATGGAATGAAAAAATAAGAGAATTTGACCTTGACTATGATATACCTCTTCAGGTAATAAAACCAAATAATTTGGCCCTAAAATTAATTTTGAATTGTATTTTCTATTTTGAATGGTAATGAATTGGTACAATCTTTATTTTCAGACTACACTAGTTGATACTAGTGAAACTGCCCGCTTGCGATTTTTTCTGGACATGCTAGTGGATAAAAGAGTTCCTGTAATGCTAGTTGGTGCAGCTGGATCAGGGAAAACCGTAATTATTTCTGACAAACTTAATAATCTCTCAGAAGAATATGCAGTCACAAATGTGCCATTCAACTTTTATACAACTTCTGAAATGCTGCAGAAGATATTAGAAAAGCCTTTGGAAAAGAAGGCAGGACGTAATTTTGCACCTCGAGGAAATAAAATAATGGTTTATACAATAGATGATATGAACATGCCTGAAGTTGATGCTTATGGTACAGTCCAACCACACACCCTAATTCGGCAATACATGGATTATGGGCATTGGTATGATCGATCCAAGTTAACTCTGAAGGATATTCATAATTGTCTTTTTGTGGCAAGTATGAATCCTACTTCAGGAAGTTTTACTATAAGCCCTCGGTTACAAAGACATTTTTGTGTATTTGCATTGAATTATCCATCAGGAGAACCATTATTTCATATATATAGTACTATTTTGGATCAACATTTATCTCACCCTAATTACAAATTTCCTACTGCAGTCAAGAAGTGCACTTCACAAGTAGTGTCAGTTTCATTGCAACTACATCAGAAGATGACTTCAGTATTTTTACCAACTGCTGTCAAATTTCATTATCTTTTTAACCTCAGAGATCTTTCCAACATATTTCAGGTACTCTATTATTGTAATAAAATTCCATTTTAATTAATAATAATAATAGGACAAATAAATATTAATGTTTGTTTCTTTCAGGCTTTATTATTTGCTACTCCTGAATGTTTAGTAAATGAATCTGCATTCATTCGTCTTTGGATGCATGAAGCAATGAGAGTATATGGTGATAAATTGGTAGACGAGAATGATATTGAATCCTTCAATAGGATAATTAATGATATTGTAAGGAAAGGTTTTGAGCAGATCAATGAAAATGAAGTGTTTCTAAAGCCTCTTATCTTTTGCCATTTTGCTGATGGTCTTGGAGAAAGTAAATACTTGCCTATCAGAGACTGGAAGCATTTGCAAAATTTACTTAAAGATGCTATTTCTCAATATAATGATCTTGTAGCAGCAATGAACCTTGTCTTATTTGAAGATGCAATGAGCCATGTGTGTCGCATTAATCGCATAGTGGAAGGACCACGAGGTAATGCTCTTCTTGTAGGAGTTGGAGGGAGTGGAAAGCAATCATTGTCTCGTCTTGCTGCTTTTATATCATCTCTGGAAGTATTTCAGATACAACTTTCAAAAGGATATGGGATAAGTGATATGAAATCAGACATATCATCTCTTTACCTCAGAGCAGGACTCAAGAACGTAGGTACAGTATTTCTTATGACAGATGCTCAAGTAGCCAACGAAAAGTTTTTAGTTCTTATAAATGACATGTTGGCATCTGGCGAAATATCAGATTTATTTGCTGATGATGAAGTTGAAAATATTGTTGCTGGTATGAGAAATGAAGTCAAGACTTCTGGATTACAAGATACAAAAGAAACATGTTGGAAATTTTTCATTGAAAAAGTACGTCGAAATATGAAAGTAATGTTGTGTTTCTCACCAGTAGGATCTACTCTGAGAATAAGGGCTCGTAAATTTCCAGCTATTATAAATTGCTCATCCATTAATTGGTTTCACCCATGGCCTCAAGAAGCACTTGAATCTGTGTCTAGTCAGTTTCTCCAAGACATAAATGTACTACCAGAAGGTATAAGAAAGTCAGTATCTGTATTTATGGCATATGTACATACATCTGTTAATGAAATGTCGGTAATGTATCTCCGTAATGAACGCCGTCATAATTATACAACACCAAAAACATTTCTAGAGCAGATCAGTTTATATTCAAAATTATTAACACAAAAGACAAGAGAGTTGGAGAGCCGAATCATCAGGCTTGAGAATGGTCTATTGAAATTAGCTAGCACTGAAAAGCAGGTAGATGGTCTTAAAGAAATATTGGTAGTGCAAGAAATTGAAGTTAATGAGAAGAATGAGCAAGCAGACCAGCTTATAAAAGTTGTATCAGCAGAACAAGAAAAAGTAACAATGGAGAAAGCAATTGCTGATGCAGAAGAAGCCAAAGTTCGTATAATTGAAGAAGATGTTTCAGTTAAACAAAAAGTTTGTGAGGCAGATCTAGCTAAAGCTGAACCTGCTCTAATAGCAGCTCAAGAAGCACTAAACACTTTAAACAAAAACAATTTAACTGAACTTAAATCGTTTGGGTCTCCACCAGATGCAGTTGTCAATGTGGTAGGAGCTGTTATGGTTTTATTTTCTCAAAGAAACAAAATACCCAAAGACAGAAGTTGGAAAGCATGTAAAATGATGATGGGAAAAGTTGATGCATTTTTGGAGAGTCTATTGTGTTATGACAAAGACAATATTCATCACGAAATTGTGAAAGCAGTTAAAGAATACTTGAATGATACAGAATTTAATCCAGATCATATTCGATCCAAATCATTTGCTGCAGCTGGTTTGTGTGCTTGGGTTATTAATATAGTAAAGTACAACGAAGTGTATGAAATGGTGAAACCAAAGAGAATAGCTTTGAAGGCAGCTAATGCAGAATTGGCAGCTGCTCGAGAAAAACTGAAGGTTGTTACTGACCAGATTAAATCATTAGAAGACAAATTAGCAATACTGACTCAAGAATATCAAGAGGCTGTTGCAAAAAAAGAACATTGCCAAAGAGAAGCTGACAAAACAGCTACCACAATTGATCTCGCCAACAGATTGGTGTTAGGATTAGGATCAGAAAATGTTAGATGGCGAGAAAGTTTAGCACACTTAAAAACATCAAGTTCAAAACTTCCAGGAGATGTTTTAATGATTACTGCTTTCATCTCCTATGTTGGATGTTTTACACGTCAGTATAGGTCAGATTTATTATATAAATATTGGTTTCCTTATCTCACTACATTAAAACCTGAAATTACATTGACAGAAAATCTTGATCCATTAGCACTGCTAACAGATGATGCACAGATAGCTAAATGGAACAATGAAGGACTTCCAAGTGATCGTATGTCTGCAGAAAATGCCACTATTTTAACAAACTCATCTCGTTGGCCTTTAATGATAGATCCTCAACTGCAAGGATTAAAATGGATAAAAAATAAATATAGTGAAAACTTAAAAGTTATTCAGCTTGGGAATAAATCTTGTTTGGATATAATAGAAGTAGCACTTTCAAAAGGATATACAGTTTTAATTGAAAATATTGGTGAAACAGTTGATGCAGTTCTTGATCCTCTTTTAGGAAGAAATTTTATTAAAAAGGGCACAGCTATTAAAATTGGTGATAAGGAAGTAGACTTCAATCCTAATTTTCGTTTGATTCTCCATACTAAGCTGGCTAATCCTCACTACAAACCAGAAATGCAAGCACAAACTACTCTTATCAACTTTACTGTTACAAGGGATGGATTGGAAGAACAACTTCTTGCAGAAGTGGTGAAAGCTGAACGGCCAGATTTAGAAGCTTTAAAATCAGAGCTTACAAAGCAACAAAATGATTTTAAGATCACTTTAAAAGAACTGGAAGATGACTTATTGCATAGATTAGCATCAGCTGGTGAAGATATTCTGAGTGATGTAGCACTTGTAGAAAATCTTGAAACAACAAAACGGACTGCTGCAGAAATTGAATTGAAAGTAGAAGAAGCAAAACAGACAGGGGAAGAATTAGATGTAGCACGTGAACAATATCGCTCAGCTGCAGCTAGAGGATCATTGCTGTATTTTATCTTAAATGATCTCTACAAGATTAACCCTATTTATCAATTTTCTCTGAAAGCATTCAGTGTAGTTTTTAAAAGAGCGATAGAGAAAGCTGCCACAGGTGTCACTGTGTGCGAAAGAGTTTCAAATCTTTTGGATAATATTACATTTTCTGTTTTTATGTACACAAGTAGAGGGTTATTTGAAAGTGACAAATTAATATTTTTGGCTCAAATGACAATTCAAATTTTACTTCATGCTGAAGAAATTGAGCCATCTCAGCTAGACTTTTTACTTCGTTTTCCTTGTGCTCCAAATGCAGTTAGTCCGGTAGAGTTTCTTTCCAATACAAGTTGGGGTGCTCTTAAAGTTCTCTCCACTTTAGATGACTTTAGGAATTTGGATCATGATATTGAAAGTTCTGCAAAGCGCTGGAGAGGGTTTGTAGATTCACAATGTCCTGAAAAAGAAAAATTTCCTCAGGAATGGAAAAATAAAACCCTTCTAGAAAGATTATGTATGATGCGATGTCTAAGGCCAGACAGAATGACTTATGCAGTTAGACTTTTTGTAGAAGAAAAGTTGGGCAGCAAATTCACTGAAGCAAGAAGTCCAGAATTCTCACAGTCTTACAAAGAAATGAACAAATCAACACCTGTGTTTTTTATTCTGTCCCCTGGAGTCGATCCATTACGCGATGTTGAAAAACAAGGAAAACGCCTGGGATACACACTTGACAAAGGGAATTTTCATAATGTTTCTTTGGGACAAGGACAAGAACCTGTTGCAGAAGAAGCCTTAAATAAGGCTGCTCGGAAAGGTCACTGGGTAATTTTACAAAATATTCACCTTGTGAAAAACTGGCTTCCTTATCTAGAGGAGAAAATAGAACGTTGTCATGAAACTGGTCACAGGAAGTTTAGACTCTTCATGAGTGCAGAACCTGCCCCAGAACGGTCATGTCATGTGATTCCTCCAGGGATTTTAGAATCGTCCATCAAAATCACAAATGAGCCTCCAACTGGCATGCAGGCCAATTTACACAAAGCTCTGGATAATTTTTCCCAAGATGTTTTAGAAATGTGTTCGAAGGAAGCAGAATTCAAAGCAATTTTATTCTCGCTTTGTTACTTTCATGCTGCAGTTGCAGAACGGCGGAAGTTCGGAGCCCAAGGGTGGAATCGTATATATCCTTTCAATTTTGGTACGCAATTTTTGATTATCTAGGACACAATTAATGAATCTTACTTTGTATTAATATTTATTTACCTTTGTTTTCTAGGCGACCTCACTATTAGTGTTAATGTCCTCTACAATTATTTAGAAAGTAATAGCAAAGTTCCGTGGGAAGATTTAAGATACTTGTTTGGTGAAATAATGTATGGAGGCCATATCACTGATGACTGGGACAGAAATCTCTGTCGCACATACTTGGAGGAGTACATGAAGCCTGAGTTGATAGAAGGAGACCTCTTTTTTGCTCCGGGCTTCCTCGCTCCTCCCAATTCTGATTACTCTGGTTATCACAAGTACATAGATGACCACCTGCCTCCCGAATCTCCCTATCTGTATGGATTACATCCAAATGCTGAAATTGGAGTACTCACAACAACTTCCAAAAAATTATTTCAAACAGTTCTGGAATTGCAACCTCGAGATGCAGGGGCAGGAAGTGGAACAGCTAGCACTAAAGAGGAGAAGGTACATACTTCCTTTCATATTTTTTGTAAAACATCAGTATGTGCCTAATTAAGTCAGTTCATCCTCTAACATTCTTATTTTTTCTCAAACTTGTCATCAAATATCAAACTATATTTTGCAATGCAATTAATATACTAAAATTTTACTCATAAATTGAATATTTCAACTTAATTTTATTAGAATTTTAGTATCTAACTCACATATATGCACATGCACACAGTGCAGATTTGACTAAAAATGTTAGTTACAACTGCCCTGAAATATTTATCAACTGGCATCAGCCTTTTGCAGTTGATGTACTGTCTCCTGCATATTGGAATTTAAAAACATTGGAATTTAAACAAGCTTACATTGGAATTTAAATACATATACAACATAAACCCTTATGATGAATCATAATTTTATTATAAATAAAAGATAAGAAAGTAAAATACAAGTTTCATTACCACTCACAGTTGGATTGCCTGAAATTAATAGTTGAGGATCAGAACGGCTTGGATCAATTTCTAGCTGAAACATTGTCATCATGGGTTAAGCCCATTGGCCCATTCCGCCTTCCAGAGTATCCTTCCATTACCTTATTGGTCTGCCCCTACTCGTCCCGTTTGGATTGTATTTGCAGAGGATTTTTGGCATTTCATCTCTGGTATTCTCATTAATGATCATGGCAATTCTTTCTTAGCATGTCTAAATTTTTAGTTAAGTTGAAGATCTTTAATTTGTCTCTGATGTCTGTTTCTTTTATAGTCCAGTAATGAATTGCCCACCAAAGGTCTAAGAAATCTCATTTCCATGGCTTACATTTTTCTCTTATCTGTTCTATTGAGGGCCCAATTTTTGCATCCACATGTTATCATTGAAACTGATGTCTGTAGATGCTTTCAGTTTAAGAGTCTTTCGTATAGTTCTGCACATTGTTTGAAATTTATGAATTTTTATATTAATATAATTTTTTTTGACTGTATGAAAAAACTGAAGCTGAAAAGCTGAAACATATTTTCAAATAGAACCAAAAAGCTGGTTTAAAGTGTGATGAATGTGAAGTATTTCACATTTAGAGCATAAAGAGGAGTAAGATATCAGTCAGAGGCATTCTTAGCCAGTTTTAGGAAGTATTTCCAATCTAGAAGGAAGTAATTTGTTTGTAAAAGCAGTTTCTCTACAACGTTTAGATAAATACTATTGGTATGCCAGCCCTTAACCTGTTGCTGTTCTCCAATTTTTTGTTCTATTCCCTGCTCAATTTTATTTAAAATTATTTTGCTACAGAGTCTTCCTACCACATTAATCACCACACTATCACTGTCAATCACTTCATTGTCTCTTGGTCCTTTTTTCATAAATTGGTACAAGTTAAGATGATTCCCTCTCCTGAAGGGAATGTTCTCCATATGACCTTTACACATTGTGCTTTTTTATATTTCATACTTTTTCAGTGTTTGTTCTAAATCATCTTCAGTAATGCCTACTTTCTCCTTAAAAACTGTTTCCCTATTATATTTAAAAATTTATGTTTTCTGAGAACAGTCTTTCAAACTATTCTTTCAATTAATTTATTTGGGTATCAAATGTAGAAATATGGTTTTATTTGTGCATTTTGATTGATCTGATTATTCTCCAGGCTTACAAACTTTGTACTATATATTGGCCAATATAATCACATTCATTTTGGCATGAAATACTTTTCTTCCTTAATACCTTTTCACATAACTATGTCTCTTTTATTATTAGTCTTTTCTTCTTTATCTGTGTCTTACCAATGTTGTGCTGTGTAATCAATTTTGATTGATGACTTCTGAAAAGAATATGCCCTAGTTTCATTGAAAGGTCAAGATATAGTTTGTGGGCTTTATTGTGTTCAGCTTCTATGCTGTGTGTGTGTGTGCAGCACAGATGCACAAGTGAGCACACTTTCTTCTCATCTGCCCTCCTAATTGCGATCCCTCGGAGGCCAAGGGGGGCTAGTTGTCCAGTCAGATTATTTAATTTATTTTTTAACATGGTATACTTCAGATGTTTTCTGTTCTTACAATTGATAATTTTAAAATGACTAGCAATTCCATTAATGATTGCATTAGATTCACAGAATCTAAGAGGGCATGTCATGTGTATTTGTGATATGCCACTATGGGAGCTTATCGGCTTCAGTTGGTTCTCAGGGAGGAGTGTCACTACAGAGGTCTATTGGATGTCATGATTTCCACATGAGGAGTGAAATAATTTCCACAAGTTGCAATACTAAGATTTATTCATTGCATGTTTAAGCCATGAGTCAAATCCATTTGTTTTCTAAATTGATGAGATTTCTAGAGTTTTGGTAGTTTTGATCCTATTTCATTTTTTCTATGATGATCCTGCGTGAAAATCAATGTTCCTTTTCCAGATTAAACAAGTCTTGGAAGATATTTATGATAAGATTCCTGAAGAATTCAAAATTTCAGAGATGATGGGAAGAGTGGAGGATAGGAATCCCTACATACTTGTAGCATTTCAGGAATGTGAGCAGATGAATTTTCTTACAAGTGAAATGAAAAAAAGTTTAAAAGAGCTAGAACTTGGACTGAAGGTAAATATTAGCATTTTTTAAATTAATCAAAGAATTCATTAATAGACTTTTGAATATCACATAGTTTTTACACAAATTATGAAGTGAAAATTGTACAAATATGAACCCACTGTAGAATGAATGGGTCTTTCTAGAATCTATCAAATTCAGTAGCACATGTTATTAGTTTGAGTATTCTTTCCTCGAAGATGTTCACCTTACAACGTAAGGTTATCACAGTATGGAAGGCTGAAAGCATGTTCCTGTGTTAGATCCAGAAGCAAAGCAGTTAACAGTATATGAATGTTCCTTTTTTCAGGAGTTCTTGCATTCTTTATTTCTTGTTATCTTCCTACATCTCTTTTTTCTCGTGGTTTTTATTTTAGAGCTGCCTTTGGACTCTTCTTTCTTTAATGTTTTTTAATGTCCCATGTGTTTCTTCTCATTCTTCTTAAATTCCTCTTATATTTTGTTGTCTCGAGTCTTTTCCTTATTTCTCTGCCAATCCAAACTAATGCAGACTAGGAATCTCATTTGAGATGCTTTAAGTCTTTGTTTATCCTTTTGTTCAGGATCCATATTTCTCAGCCAATTTTCGGAAATTCGGAGGGCTTAGTGAAAAAAGGACTTGTGCCATTTTTGTAATCTCTATCTGAAAAAAATTAAAAGAAATATTTAAGACCAATTTTTAGAAAATTTTGAAAATGAGCTTGAGGTTTCCTTATGAAGACTGAATTGACGCTTCATGGATCCATGATACTGAATTATTGGTTAAATGGGCAAAATGTCTGCCTATCTGTGAACAACACTAGCAGCTAAACTGTGGGCAAGATTTTTTAACCATAAATATAAGGACATGTAGACCACAGTAGGTGAAGAAAAAGGAGTGAGCCTAGGCTTCCGCGACCATAGTATTTAATTGGCTGTCTGGGTTATGCCACGTTCATGGCAAAGGTTCCGACGTTTCGGTCACCATTCTGTGACCTTCTTCAGGGCATAATGCATTTGTTTTCTTAGCATCTTTCACTCCTTACTTTTACTATTAGCTTATTAAGTTCTAAAGGCTGGGTGATAGACCATGTTTGGGAGTTGTTTTGTGATGGTCCTGTTTTTAATTATTAAGGCAATTATTAAGTCTGAGTCAAGCATTTGTGTCCCTTTTATATCTTCTGGTATTCCTTCTCCATTATTTTTCTCCTTTTAGCTCTGTTTACCATCAGGCCTTCTCAAAATCTATAAATAATTTAAATGTAGGCAAATTTCTCATCCTAATATACTTGCACTGTGAATGTAACATCCTTTGTTCATGATGTGTTATTAAAGGAATTACACAAGATAGGTTTCCTTTGTACATGAATTGATAAGAAATCACATTTAATCCTTTTATCTTCATTTCCAAGTTATTTCATGGTATATTGAATACTTTGATATATTGCTGGAAGACACTGAATTTTTATTAAAGGATAAAAATTTAAATGAATTTTTAAAGTTATCATAAATACTATCTGACTTAAGTAATATTTTTTATCCAAAAACAAAAAAATAAGAATGGAAATACATCTTTCAAGCATTAAATATAATATATTTATTATCTAATACATAAAAATCAATGTTTGTTCATATTTTATGCCCTGGGAAACCTTTCATTCGACTGTAATAAACCTTTGTCAACTTATTGTTTGCACTTACACGCAGAATATAGACATAGTACAATGAGAATGTGCATATGTCTGTTGGACATAGACACACATTGATGATAATTCTATGTTTTTTTGCTTACTCAAGCGCCCTTGAACATATTCTATGCTACCCACTGCACCTTCAAGTATTAAGCATGTCTTTGCAGCACATTTTCCCCAGCAATTTTGAAATATTGGCCAGAATTATTACTTGAACGCTATCTCAGACAAGTAAATCAAATTTTTCCAAGACAGTGGCATAGCAAATGCATGCCCAAACTTCAGGGAGAACCTTTTAATGATAGGATTCTCAACAACCATATCCAAATCAGGACATAGAACAAGCCCATACTCGCGAGAAAGTCTTTGATCTACTACAATTTTTGCAGAGCATAGCGTTAAATATGATTAACAATCACGTGACCAGTAGCATGTGAAGTGTAATACATTGCAATAGAAAAGCATTGACTGGTTTATAATATATTGCAATAGATTTATTTTTATATAATATATACATTTTAAATACTCCTTTCAAAATTGCAAGTTGTAATTAGTTAAGTTAAACAAAGAAAACAAGCACATTTTTTATCATGTGAGCCCTTAACTTTATAATAATGGTCTTAAATACACACAAATGAAGAAATTGGGAGATGAACCGTAAACATCTTTAATTTTGATCTCATCTGATTTGATTCACAGGAGAAAATGCTTTTCACTTCAAGGAAATTTATTTTATTTTACAGGGTGAGCTGACTATATCTAAAGACATGGAACTTTTGATGGATGATTTATTTATTGACAAGGTCCCACAGACATGGATGGCAAAAGCTTATCCTTCTATGCTCACTCTTGGCCCATGGTTTGCTGACTTTCTATTGCGTCTTAGGGAACTGGAGGGTTGGACTAATGATTTTATGGTAATATTTGCCAGCAAAGAATATATTGCTGAATAACAGTTTATTTCAATTTGTATACTCTGTATTTTCTGTGCAGTTGCCAGCATCTGTTTGGCTTTCTGGATTTTTCAATCCTCAGTCATTCTTAACTGCAATCATGCAGTCAACAGCAAGAAAAAATGACTGGCCACTTGATCGAATGTGTCTCAGCTGTGATGTAACAAAAAAACAGAAAGATGATTTTACGTAAGTGCTACATGAAATCATTTATATTGTATCCCAAAAAGAAAGGAATGTATAGAATTGACCATTGTCTATTCCAAGTGAAATATTATAAATGAATTATATTATTTACACCCATATGAGATCATAAAACATTTAGCACATTTACTTTATAAGATATTGCAAAATAATGTCAATATACACTGAAACAAATTAATTAGCATTTTTCTTTAAATTTTTAACTGTTTAGTATATATAGTTCTAGGGAGCCACAGTGGCTTAGTGGTAGGGCATAGGCTTCTTGACCTAAAGAACCCAGGTTCAAATTTCAACATAGGTTGGAATTTTTATCTGGTGAAAAGGCGGCTCTGAGTTTGACTCAGCCTCCTTTCCAAGTGAATTCCAGGATCTTTCCTTGGGGTAAAGGTGGCCAGAGCATTGTACTTGTCACACAACCTCCTCCTTGTACCAACGGCGATGATAGGTGGAGCCCTACTTTCACTTCCCCTGTGGGCCATTGGCCGTACAATGGTAATTGCACAGGGGATACCTTTACCTTTCATGTACGGTTCTTTGTTTCAGATATATAATCGTGTTGAATTGTGAAATTATCAAAACAGCATTTCCTTCAGAATATTTGATATTCTTTCAGAATAAGGGTTCAATGAATATAATATTAATCATTCCTTAAAAAGCTTTCAATGAAAATAATTTATTCTTTGTGACGTAGGTCACCTCCCCGAGAAGGAGCAAACGTGCATGGATTATTTATGGAAGGTGCTCAATGGGACGTTAAAAGTGGTGGCATTGTTGATGCAAAATTAAAAGATCTTTTTCCTGGAATGCCTGTCATTTACGTAAAAGCCATCACTCAAGATAAACAAGATCTTCGCAATTTGTATGAATGTCCAGTGTATAAGACACGCATTCGTGGTCATACATATGTTTGGACATTCAACCTAAAATCAAAACAGAAGGCTGCAAAATGGACTCTTGCAGGTGTTGCTCTTTTGCTTCAAGTGTAGGTTTAAGTATTGTAGAGAGTAAATATCATTATTCGCTCATTAATTATTTGAACCATTCATAGATCAATTTAAGTAATTATACAGCTCTTCAAAATAACACCTCCCTTTAAGTCTTACACCAATTTAAAATCAAGTTAAAAATATTTATAAACAAAAAAAGAAAAATTGTGTATTAGAAAACCAAATCAGGATTTCAAATATTTCTTTAACAGTTTTATTTTAGTTGGACTTGTTTTCAAACAACAGAGAATTTTGTGACACTAATGTTAAAATATATAAAAATGCATATTATGAGCTATTAATTGTATGTTATGAATGAGTTTCGAAACTTAAAGCATTACGTTGCTTGTCAAATTTATTTACAATAACTTTGAATTCTTTTATACATTTCATTAGAATCTTTTCATGTAATTTTACTAATCATTTTGGCTAAATTATAAAAACTGAAGTTGTTTCTTTCATTGAAATGTTTTGTTTTCAGAAAGCATCTGATTAATAAAATGCTTTAATTTTTTAGGGAATTGGTCAATTTTTAGGGAGGACATATGTATTTAAAATCACTTTAATTATTTTAATACAGATCACATAGTCAATTTATTGAAGAAAAAATACACTAAGTAAATTATAATTAAAAGGATAAAATATAGAAGTTGTTTATGGCCAATTTTGTCTTTGCAAAACAAGACTCACTTCTGAGCTTGTTCTAGAAACCCACCACATCAAGAATAAATTTATTTTTTTACACTGTAAGTCTGTACAATTCTAAGATTTCAGCTTAAAAATTAGGAATATTTTGCAGTGAAACACTGTGTAAAAAAACTTACGTATTTTATCCTTTCAACTATAACTTGAACAGTATAAATAATTTTAAAATATAATAGTTTGAAATAACAAATGGACTATGGAATCACAGTGATTATAGTAATTACAGTACTTCTCTAAGAATGCCTACAAGTTCACTCTACAAATATCATAGCAGCCAAATGCCATATCAAAAATTCAATAAAGTGATGAACATTAGAATATTGAAGGTAAAATGCTAAATATTACAAATAACGATTCATTATCCCTCTTGAATCGACTTCCTTATTTTTTAACAAGTTTCAAATGTGCACAGGGGAGTATTAATTGGCATGCAGAACAAGCATGTGCTTAGATTCTGCCTCAGCCCCTCATGGGACCACAATAACTTTTTCAACAAAATTTATATTTGTTCATTAATATGGCCTGTAAACATTACCATTAAATCTTTTATTACAAATACAAAAACTGATATAATTAATTAAGATTTTAAAAAATGCCACACAAAATGTTGACCAAAATTTAACAATATATATATATAATAAGAAATGCAAATACTATAATTGTTATTTTGGTATTAAATTTTAAATTGGACACGTTATAATTTTCATATTAATATTGACAACATTTGTTCAATATTTCAATATTATTATGGCTCCTCATAATTTGTTTGTACTTGGGACCCCTTAAGATATTAATTCAGAACAAGCAAACAAGCAACAACAACAAAACCAAACTTTTCAGAAAGTAAGTGAAGAAGTAAGGGAGCTGATTCTGTGAGCTTCAGAAAGGCTGTGCTGAAAATATATAATACACGTTTATGTAGAAAATATATAGATTTATAGAATATCAATATAAAATGTGTTGCTTATCATTTATTTTTACAATAAAGTCTACTGAATAAGTTAAACAATTTAATTATTTCAAAATAAAAACCTGAAATATTGAAATTCAAATCACCCTGGTTCATTCATATGTATCTTTTAATCTTAATTTATCTCTTATGAGACAGACTAGAAAAGCTATAGTAATGCTGAGCAAGGTAAGATATTGAGAAAAACTAGACGATACAAATGTTTTTTTTTCTTCTAACACTAAGGAGAAAATGTTACTTTTTAATCCTAAATAGAAGTTGTTAAAACAGCATTTTAGCTGTTTAGCAATTGATTATTCTTTACTACACTTTATTGTTTTAATAAAAAATCTCCTTCCATTAATCCTTTCATTGATCTCATTCTGAACATTACAATTAAAAAATTACATTTCAATTAAAATTTTGAGTGGAATATATCAGTTCTGCACTAGAATCAAAGATATAAAATGGACATGAGGTAATTTATTCAAGATAAGGGCAATTTACAGGAGCACTCAAAGAAAACAAGGGTCCTAGGGGCCCCTTAATTCAAACAAAATTCCCCCCATATGTAAACAGAATCCATCTCTCTATCAATGAGAAACAACTTTTAGTGACTCAAACGAATTAGAAGTAAATACATTTTTATAAGATTGAATACAATTTGGAGCTTGGATTAAGTCAGGGTCTGTGACAAGTAGTTGCCAAGCCCCCCCCTTGGCCCCCCCCCCCGGGGGGGGGGGGGCTATATGTCCGTGCCCATGGCCTATATGTTCAAAGTCCACAAAACTCTTGAATGTTTCAGTTGTTGAGGCGTTGAGGGTTTCCGAAGTCCGTAATGTTTTTAAGAATCCGTATGTTTTTACCCTAACCCTTCCATAATTCTCGGTAAGTCGCCAGTAATATATATCTATATCTATTATTATTATAGTATATATTATATATATATATATATATATATATTAGAGGCACTATCCTTAAGTTTATTTGTGTCATAAATTGCGAATACGACACTTTTTACACATGGGGCGCAGAGGAATCGTGGCGACGAGAGCCAGCATCTTCTAGAGAATTACTGACAAATAACTGACAAATAACTTGGTCGTGCTGAAAGACAGCGGACTTGGGGTTTTGCGCTGCTCCGCGCGCGCTTTGCGATCGAAGGAATGCAAGGAGACGTAGCTACATCCTCGGGGGGCCCTAGTTTAGAAGTCGAAATAGGGCTCCTCGTTGCCATCGCCATCTTTATTGGGGTCAGCGGGTGTTCTCCTTGGAGGCCCTTGACTTCGGGTTCCGCGTTGCCGTTGCATCAGCCTGCCTACGTCCCTGCGTACGAAATGCCACTTTGTTTTTTCATGTCTTATTTGCCATACGCTAAAAAACATGAACTTTTTTTACTTTCAATAGGTATGAAGTTCTCGCATCCATAGAGAAATATTATCTCTTTCTCGGAAAGAAAGTGGATGAGTTCTCTTAACCCGCCACCTTCCCACAAATCACCTCGACAAATACAGCAGCTGTTTTCTTTGCCAGTCCACGGGCGTATCTTTCGTATTGTAATTTTGAAAAGAAAAAAAAGGGGAGTAGCATTTTCAATCGCATCTCAACTTTTTGGATTCTCGCCCGATCGAAATGATTAGAACCTAACAAATTTGGGAGCAATCACTTTAGTGACTCAAAAATGTTAGAGGTGCATGCGTACACATATATTATACTCGCATACTTTCATTCTTAAAATAAATGTGCCTCGTAATAAATATTTTGACAAAAGAATAGCTAATAGTAGTTTAATCTGAATAGAATTAAAAATATACAGAAGGAAATAAATTGAATGGCTGAAAATTTATTTTACAAAAGTGATGGGCGATATATTTGGCACTGGAAATTGTCAGCAGAAAATTTATTTGATACGTCAAATTTCGCCTATTCATTAATTTATCAAATAGATATCAAAATTAAATCATTTATGTTGAAAAATAATTAAAGAAAACAGTAATGTGAACAATACGATTGCAATAAAATACGAATCAAAGACGAGCCATACCTTTTTTGGCGCGAATGCTTTTAAAACTGTATAACAAATGCACGACATTCATGGATTTTCTAGCAGTCACGCTAACTTGTACATTGTCTTTGAATCGGTTCTTGAATGAGTCCAATGAGTCTGTCTCAACTGTAGTGTTTAAACATGGCCGACATGAAGTTATCTGTTCGTGCGTATTCAAAAATCATTTTACATGCGGCCAAATACCCTCACTGTGCAGTTAATGGTGTATTGTTAGCAGAAGATCCCAAATCAAAGGACTCGAAGAAAGGAAAGGGCTTGTATATAACTGATGCGATTCCACTATTCCATATATGTTTACAAGTGACACCTATGGCCGAAATTGCACTTACTCAGGTAAGTGTGTAATCATTATTCCATTGAATTTGTTCCAACTATACCATATCATGTCCAGTTAATGTTCACATTTTTATCAATTGAATGTAGATTGACCACATGGCTTCGAATTCTGGGTTAATAATTGCTGGGTATTATTTGGCTAATGAAAACATCAAGGATGTTGGGTAAGAATCGTAAATAAGTAATGACTTCCTTATCCCTCCTATGAATGACGAGGTTACTTCACTGTTGTTATTTATTCTTTTTACAGAATCGAGAGAGCTGGGCCACGAATAGCTGAAAAAATTGCAGAGAACTACAGTAATGCATATCTTATAGTGGTCAGAATCATTTAATTTATTTTCTTTATGTGCTATTCTAATTTTTCCCGAAAATGTAGTGTGACATTTTTGTTTAATATATCATTTTACGTCTTGAAGCCTCAGTTGTAAAACATGCATATGATAGTTCATGGATGTTGAAAGTAAAGTAATTATTAATGTACAAATAAACTTATTCTGGAAGTTAAATCTATTAATGCTTGTTTGTTTTCAGGCCCAATTGTATTTTGTATGTTCACAGTGCAAAATGTTTTTAATGTAATGTAGTTTATTTAAACTAAGGAGGGGATATGACAATATAAAGTCAATTTTTCAATGAGATGCTGTTTTGATCAATCTAATTGTGTATTTATTGTTTAGTTAAAAATTTTGAATTCATGCTTTGATCTGTTGCCAGTCAAACAACTCTTGTTGCTTTGGAATCTTACACTAATGAGATAAATCTATTATGTTTGCAATTTAAGCTGTACTTCTATTTCTTAGAAATGTTTCTACTGCTGCAGGTGGATAATCAACACCTTACCCTGAACATGGACTCATTTGCCATTGTTGTATCTCAGTATGTGGATGGAAAGTGGAAGACAAAGGAAAGATCCAGGTAGTATTTTACATTTTATGATCATTTTATTCAAGGAATGGTTGAATGACGACTTCAATAGTGGTTACCATTCACTTTCTGACCCTTCAGGGCCTCTTAAGTTTGGTGGCAAATTGGGAAAAATGTTGATTGTTGGCTGAAGCTAATTGAAATATGAACTGAACAATTCAATTTGGGTTTCTACATTGGCAACAATGTCAGTATTTTTTGAAGCATACTTGGAAGTTCTTTTGCTCATTTGTCATGGTGTGAGTCAAGTATCTGGATCAAATGTTCATTTATGATAATCTTGTATAATTTTGATCACTTTTGAACCCATATGTTTATCGTTTATCTTTATTTCTGTAGTATATAATGTTCGTTGCACAAAAAAAGTTGTATTTGTTATATTTATTAGTAAGTATTATTATTGTTATTATTATTACTTGATACTCTTTTTCATACCTGTATTTTCATACATTTCAAAAATAATAGCTTGCAGAATGAAAAAGGGGAAAACTTATTCATGAAGAAGCAAAAACCAGGAAAATTAACTAACTGTAGGGACATATAAACTACAGATTGGATGAAACTGCAACAACTAATATATGTCAAGTGCGTGGTTAAATAAATCCTAGAATACAGAGTTCATCAAAGTCTCGTCCTTGAGATTTATACAATATTGTGCAATTGTCGAATGAAGGAAGAAGTAAGACCATACCCTCAAAACTGCATTTGTAATAAAGCCTAGCTGTTTAACTATAGCATTCAGGGAGGCAATTCCATTGTTCTATAATTCAAGGTGACATTGTGCAAATGCCAAAGCTACTGATTCTTTACTATGTAGATTATGGCAATGGCCTTTTCACGTGACCATGAGCCACCACCTAATTTTATTCCTAGTATTTATTTTTCTTTAAGTTGAAGAACAGAAATTTGGTCTGAATTAATGGTCTAACACTTTCAACAAAGGTGTTTTTGATAGTGTTGGTTAATTGGTAGTATCTTTTACATGACTTCTATTATTTCAGTTACACAGTGGAGAAGAATGCCCTTGATGTTGTTGCTGGTTTACTTCAACAGAGAGCATATGATGAACTAGTTGACTTCGACAATCATTTAGATAACATCTCATTAAGTTGGAAAAACCCTCATTTCAACAAGCTAGTTGAAGACTTGGCTGAAACATTTGGGGATCAGTAGTGATCAGTGACATGTACATGATTTGTACTATATTGCAATTTTGTACAAAAATGTTTTGAGAATATGTTGAATGTGAATATTTGATAAAGTGCGTTCTGGTTTTGAAAGGGTTGTTGTGAACTCATGTTATATATTCTGATAGTTTATGTATGAGATTTTTTGTTGGGTATTTATTGAACAAGAATAAATTTTATTATTATGTGATTTACTCTTGTTAGTGATTGATCTCTGCTAAATTTTGTGTCATATTTTATGTGAAAAAAATATGTACAAGACATTTGTTATTTGAAATTGGTGGCTATGATGTCATAGTTTGCACTGATTTTCAATTTTGAGTTTAATAAATTTCAACTTTGGGAACATTCAATTCTATTTATATTTTTTTTTGAATTTTGATTCAAGTAACGAGTAAGTGATGTGGGTTTGAAAACTGGTGTTCTGAGATCTGGAAAGTACTTGGGGAGTGTCACTTTTTCCTATTGCCATTAATATTTTGACTATGGTTTTTGGTTTTGTACATTATTTTCAATTACTGTTTGAAAATGTATGTTAGATGGGGTCTTAGGAGCCAAATCATCATCCAAATATCAGGTTGTACTGAACAATTGTTTTCTGTTAGCATATTCTTTTACTATTGTGCAAGTGCTTTCAAATTAAGCTTTATAACAAAAACATATATTGTCGAAATTTTTGGTGAGATCACTGTTGGCTTGGTATATTGCTGGTGCATCATAGCAATATATTAAAATTCTAGTGGCCTGCAGCAACAAAAATGCTGCTGAACAAAACCACAGAATATTGTGTTCCAAAAAGTTTCTCACACTCTGCTCAGGACCAAATAAAATATTCTCGTATAACACTGCAATAATGTAAATATTTTAACAAAAGCGCTCTTCATGGATTCTGCAATAGTATTTGTAGTGCTGCAACAGGTCTTTACTTACCAATAATAACAGAAATGTTGATGTTCTAAAATGAAACGTGTAAGTGGTAGGCGACCTCTTGGAGCCTTGCTGTTGCATATTGTCAGCTGTGTCATAAGCAGAGATAAGTTATGGGAATCCAATCAGTATGTGCAGTATGAGAGTAGGTGGAATAACGCAATTGAATATTTGCGTTATTCAGTTTCATTGTCTCAGGATTTCTCCAGGTTTCCTGGGTATATAACAAAGTCGTAGACCCTTCTCACTTAACTGGAGGCTGTATAGTTTTTTTTTCAATTATGATCCACATTGGATTTCAAAGGAAATGGTACATGTTTTGGGGTCCTCTGGTACCAAAAAAGTTTGTTTTTCCAAAACTGCTGCATGTCTGTGAACAACACTAGCTAACTGTGTAAAGAATTTTTCCAAATCAAATGTTCACAATTTATCCGACCTGACCTAAAGCTCTGTGATTTTGAATCCCATATAGGGGAAACTTTGCATGAAGTGCTTGGGTAATTTAAAAAATTTTCACAAAAATGTCTCTAAACTTTTTCTTTAAATTTTCTGGAAGGATAGAGTGAAATACGTTTTATAAAGATGGGATAGGTCTGATTTTCCACGTTTACTGTGAATTTTCGAAAATTACAAAAGTTGAATCTTTTTTGTGTCTTTCTAAAAGAACTATATTGAAGATAGTAATTTTTTATTCAAAATAAATTTCTTCCCCTTAACTTTCTTTTAACTTCTTTCTATATTCATGAGATAATGCAATCCTAAATTCATCTCAATAATTATTCAGTTAATTTGATCTAGTGTTTTCTTTCTTGTACTTAAATTTTTCAACAACGCCATCCCATTCTACTGAACCAAGGGTGACCACAGGACCTGAGCTAGCTGGTGCAAGACCAACAAGACGTCGACGCTATAAATGACTGTTGCAAACGAGAGGCTAATCAGTAATTAAAATTAAAATGACCATATCGTAGTCTCAGTATAGATAAGATTATTTCGTCTTTCTGACCAGGTGCGAAAAGGGAATTTTTTTCTCCAGGGGTGGTGGACGTTCGATCATTCGCAGAGGCCTTGGCCTGTCGAATTAACGAGGGGAATGAAGTCTTTGCCCACACATTTTAGTGTGAATAGTCTGAAAAATACTCTTGGAGAAATTTTTTATTTTCCAAATTTGAACATTTCAAAAAGTGGGAATCGTAATGGAAACTTCTAGATATTGATTAATTATCACAGAACAAATAACACTTTTCCTGCAGGGGACATCAAACTTGCTAGGAGGGGACAGTTCCTGACATCCCCTTTGTCAATCTGCACCCTGTCTGGATCCACTGCGTATGTTGTTTTTCCATAATTATTTTCAAGCATGTTCACTAAGGTTCACATGCTTATCAACATAACTACTTTAATGAACGCAACAGAATCCATTTATAAGTTATGAAAATGTAATGAAAATGAAAACACTATTGTGTCAATTATTTTCATTGTGTCAGAGGTTGAAGTGGTTTTGAAGAACAACTTTTACGCCTGTTTCAAATCTTTCAATAACAATTCAACTACTATCCATTTCAACAATATAGGTAATACCGTTTAGAGAGAAACCTTTCTTCTGTTCAGTATAACTTAACTAATTATGTGCAACATGTAATCAGACAGGAGAGGAAAACTTGAAGAATAGGGTCGTCGGGATAAGTCTGGAGTATGTGTGCTGTTGAGAGTGATCTAAATTCATCGGTTGCCAGTTCTGTTCCGTGAAAAAATATTGGAGAGAGAAAAATCCGCCAAGTGATGGTGTGGTGAAAATGGTAAGCTGTGAAAAACCCAGATTGGACACTGGAGCTGGTAACATTAAAATATCTGGACTTTCATAAGACGTTTAAATCAAAGTATCCCTATCGCAAGCCATTAATATTAATTCAATTTTTAGAAAATGGAGGGCATGTTTATATGCCTGTTTAAATAAAAATGCGAACTCTGATATATTTTCGTAATAGCTGCCCTTTCGCAAGTTTCAGAACTAATACCACTGTGCGTGGGGCACATCTATCAGAAGTCATCAATATTTGCCCAATTTTTTGTACCAAGAAGATGGGTACTATTGATGATTTAAGCAAAGAAAGCATTGCATCACTCAAAATCTTCTCGAGAAACTATGGTTCCGCTGAGCGGAATGACGCCAAATGCGTTTTTTCCCCGTAAGTCGATGCCTTGTTCCGTCCAATGCGGCATCCCTGGGTGCATTGCAATCGAGACTTCCAGGTAATCGGGATTCTTTCTAAACCCGATGGATTTTCTGTAAATTAGAAGATATGAATCAATAATCATTTGTTGGCGTCAACTGAGGAATGTGAAATGAGATGGAGCTGGCGGGGGTCAAACAACGTCTGCAATTTCTCTGTGAGATTTATGACGAATTTTGTTGTTTTTTTAATATTTTTTTCAATTCACATAACGAAATAGCAGGTAAATTGCACCTCATTATGAACACCGATGTAGTGGGTCCAAGAGGGCTGTAACTATTAGTAATTATTATATTATTACCAGTAATTTTAATGTTATACATATAATTGTAATTATTACAATTAACAAATCATTTGAGAAAGTTTGCGCTAAACAATACTATTCAATATAAACTACATAGTAGCACCACAAGTTGTACCTCAAAAATAACCGTGCTCTTTTGTTGCACAAATCCATAGATCCTACCTCTATTAACTTAATATTTTAGTTAAAATCTACTAATAATATAAATCACTTCTATGATTTTGACGGAAAGTTGGTGGAGTTCTTTAAAAAGTAAATAATTTATGAGCTCATAGCATTTGCAAGCGATATATGTTCCTTAATACTGTTTAATAATAATTTCAGTTGAAGTTTGTTGTCATTTGTATTTACAAATTAAAAACGCAACATCAATCAGTAATAAAGTATGGTAAACTAAAGAATTAAGAAAGAAGTAATCGTTCAATTTCGTAAATATTAGATTTGAAGAAGTAATGCGAATATTCAAGAACCAATATGTTCACTGGATGACGACATCTCATCTGTCATGTAGTCTTGAGGTCATATGATGGGACGCTAGACTGTCACACACCTAATAGACTTTTCCTTTTTTAACTTTTTTATCTTTTTTATCCAGTGAAGGACGAGTGCAGTTCTTTGTGAGAAGCGGAAAGATCAATGTGAAATGGAAGTTCCTCAAAACAGTTCACAGTTCCTCATTGTTATGTAAAATTAAAAATGTCGGCCTAGACGAGATTTTTCCTTCTGAATCACGCGATAATATGAAAGGGTAATATTAACATGTACATAATTCAGATTTTTCTGAGAAAAAAAAAAGCATGCGTGCAAACATCAGAACGAAGAGAGTGAGGATTTTCTGCAGTTGATTTGTTAGTTTAATAATATTACGATTACGTTGAGATCGTCGAGAGTTACTGATTTCTTACAGTGTACAAGAATGCAGTTCAAGAATTACACTGTTCTTTTTTTCGTGATCCTTTTAATTTGTAATAATAAAATAACCAATACAATGCATTAATGCTTGAATATCAATTTTTCTCTTTTTTTTTCTATTCTTTTAATATCCTTTGAGGATGATTAAACATTTTGTTGTCAAGTTATGTAACTTGGAGAAATAGTACATTATCAAAACATAACACAGGAACTCAAAATAAAAAAAAAAGAAAAATTGTCAGACCCGCGTTGACTTGACACACGTTCCTCTGTGTATGTCAACGCGCTGAATCCGGATCTGAAGCCGGAATTGCGTCATCCTCCAGTTTTTTAATCTCAAAAACCACCGCGATAACGTAAATTCTAAACTTTACGAAGTTGTTTTTGCCTTTAAAAAATAAAAAATAAACATGTATCAAGTCACAATGCTCCACAACCCCAAAATCTAGTATTCGCATGTGTTTTTTTCGCGATTAAAAAACAACTGGAGAGCTTGTGGCGCATTCGGGTTCGAATTCAGCGCGTCGACACAGAGAAACATCAGAAACATGTCAAGGCTGTGAGGTGACAACAACCCCCGAAAACAAAAAAGAAAAAGAAAAAAAACAACAATAATTTCACGTTACTTTTCGCGATTAAAAGAAAACCGAAGCTGGAATTCTGGGTCCAAATTCGGATTTAACGCTTCGACATATATAGAGAATCACGTGTGAAGTTTTTGGGTTTAACATTTTTTTAAATTTGTGTGCCTGTATAATCAATTACAACACGAACTAAATTTCATGCCGGTTCAAACATTGCCGATCTAGGTGACATAATACTCTCTGCTAGGTGGTATAATGTATTGGAAGCTACGAGGAATCAGAGTTTGTGGGGATCGAGCCGTCAGGCGCGATTTCAGATGTTTCAAATTGGACTCGAAATAACAAATTCACAGTAAACGAAGGAAAAAACTATTTCAGTCACGAGCTAGAGTGCATTACAAAGTGGCTGACCCTATTGTTTCAGCGCTCTTGGTTAACGCTCGCAAACCTAGGCCAAGGCCGCCAAGGGTTTTTGCTGTCAAAACATGAGAAGTGCCTGATGGTGGTGTGTAAACCTGTTGTTTTGAATCGACGTGTTGTTTGTATCACATCTTACTTCCATATTGTATTTTCGTTTATCTGTATTTAAATTATATCAGTGGTTAGACTAATATTTACAATGCCTTCAGTATGTTCGGCATGTAACTGTAAAAATAGAAGTCATCAAACCACAAAATATAATTTTTCAAGTTTGCTGCCTTATTTGTGATTTGCTTGTTTGCTTCTTATTGCAATAACATTCTCTTTCAAGCTACAATAAAATTTCAACAGCTTCTGTTCTTATGTCAATAACCGATGCAGGAAGCAACGTGTCTTTAAAGTTTCTCAATTCGTTCTGCTTACATATTGTGATTTCGTTTTTAAATGATTGGTATTTGGT